ATTACTGGTTATCCACCCATTTCATACTGGTTATCCAGAAGGTGTAAACTGGTTATCCAGAGGTAAAGAAGCAAACGGCATGTTAATTGGGGGGCTTCGCCCCACACGATAAACTAAACGACTTCCGCGGCTACCGGAATCGCAGGTCACCAATCTGCCCCGGCTGCGCCGCCCCGCCGAACACGCCAATGTAGCTAAGGTAATCCATTTTTCGTGTGTGTGTAAGGACAGTGTGTTATTGCGTTAAAAGGGGACACAAATTACTTGTATAAATCCCCCCGTTCAATTGTGTATAACTAATTATCCATATTGTCAATACTGGTTATCCAACTGTGTATAACTAATTATCCATAGTGCCAACACTGGTTATCCACATTGAGAACATTGGTTATCCATAGTGTGTAGCTGGTTATCCACAGTGTGCACACTGGTTATCCAGCTATGTTTAACTAGTTATCCATAGTGTGCACACTGGTTATCCAGCCGTCGCCCAACAATAACACTCCATCACAAAATTTTCAAAATTTGAATGTAATTTATATATGCCACGTTTAAAAAAAAGAAAAAGAAAAAGAAAGCTGAATTATTTAGCGAACTTACGCTATTCTAAGAGAGTAAAGTACACGCGTAGGGGGGTACACGGTGCCCTCGGGTGTACCAGATAATTTGCCCTTACCGCCGCTATTGTTTATCTTTCATCATATGTAAATCATGATTAATTTTTTTAAAAAAAAATTTATAATGTAGTTTGTTTAGATATTTTGTTACCTAGATGATTAATAAGGATTAAATTATGACTCAAATAGTAAAGCTCCACTAATCGTAATTATTGTTAGTTGTTCATCAAATATAAATCTCCACATAATTCTAAATCTATTAAAATATAGAGAAAATAATTTTTAAATTTTTAATGATAATCTAATCATTTATTTTTTTAAAAAAAAGATATTTTGTTAAGATACTCTTTTAAAATCAAGGTACAACAAGAAATTTACCTTCTCTACAATGGAGTTTTAAAATTTGGTATTAAAAAGAGTACAAATTTCATAACTTAAGTTGAACTTTTTTTTTTAAACTGAGCAATTACAATTAAATGTACATCTCAGTACAATCACTCATATATTTTTCGACAATCTTCATTTATACAAATAATGTTGGAAAATTTTCACAACTCGCACAACATGCAAGGCGCCACTAATAATAAAATCGTATCTATCATTCTTTTTTTTAGTACAATGAAATAGACTAATGACTGAAGAGTATGGAGTTTTAAGCTATTACAACACCTTGATTCGATGCACCGATGTTAGATCCAAATTCTAATAGCATCAAGTAGTAAATCTAACCATTGTAAACAGCCGAGCAGGGCTGTCCCTTTGAAACATATTATTTTAATTTTTCGCAACAGAATGCGAAATCCTCTGCACAGCGAGATACTTCATACAAATGAATTTTTTAAGTAGTTGTATTATATGGAGTGTAGCAAACTTGTGTGAGATTCTATTATTATTAGTGTTGGTAGTGATGACTTGTAGAATTTCTAGATTACTACTACATCCATTTTAAAATATCATTCTACAAATTGCATATTGATAATATTAATTTTTTAAAGATAGTTTTGAAAATTTTTGGACAAAAAATGTATTAAAATATGAGAACTGATACTTATTTCGAATTTTTTTTTTTCCATTTTACTAGAACGATACTTATTTTATAATAAAGAAAGTACTGCTTACATCATGTTGAGACTTGAGAGGTGTCGTGAATTACAATTTTACGCTTGTTTCATCTCATTGGGATGAAAGTGAACGTCACCAACAATCACAAGTATTAGCATTCTTGAAGCTTTTATATATATATATATATATTATTTTCCCCATTAGTTAATGCAAGTCAACGTCGTGAATCGAAGTTAATATCGTAGTTGTCGAGATTATTGAAGTAATCTGTAACTCCTTATCTGTATCATATGGTTCTCAGAATGACCTTGGTTTGATTGACAGCTTATTTGGATCCATCCATCATCGAGACATTAATTCATGAGTTGACCGAATACACAATGCTACACATGAATTTATTCGAGCGGATTTAAAGGGTCATAGTTATTTATTTTATAGTATGTTTCAAAATAATTATTTAATTTAGAGATTTTTTTACTATTAATTCAAATGTTTTAAAGTAAAAGATCAAAGAAATAATTATTTAGTGCAATATAGTTGAACATCAATTTTGTTATTTAAATATCTGTTAGCCAAAATCATACTACAAATCTTTAAGCATGTTTTACCGATTAAAAAAGCTTTTCTAAAATTCGTGTTCCACGACATATTACATGAAAATTTCTCCCTTTTAATTAGTGAATTCCATATATTGTTAAAGGGGAACAAAAAGAAAAAAGAAAAGTCTATCAATGCCTAAGAAATTTTATCATTCATAGAAAATATTACTAGAATACTAATTTTTACCGTGTTAAATGTCGATAGGTGGTATTTTTTATATGCAACGATGATGCTATGACAATAGATGACGAGATGGTTTAAGGTCTTTGGATTCTGAGATATTGGTAACTTTACGACAAGTTTTTTCTTTTCTTTTTATTATTTATTTTAGATATGCTTAGTTTCGCTTGATTGTTACATATGTTTTGATTAATCAGCATAAACTTTACTTCCTCTGACCTATTTTAATAGGCTGCATTTTCAATTTAAGATATCCCATTAAATAGGCTGGTTTTTATACATTAAATTTATTTTTTTAATAAAATTCTAAATCTACCCTTAACTCATCTAACTAACTACTTAAACATGAAATTATTGAAGAATTTATTTTTTCCAATGCGTTGAGTTGTGATATTTTGAATTTGAATGAATTATATTAGCTTAACAATTTTCAAGAACAAATTAAAATCTTGATTCACCAAATCTATTTATGTCTTTATAAAGGCATTTTAAGAAAATCAAAATAAATATGATTAGTTAAGTTAGTTTTATTAACCCGTGTATAAGATGGTGTAAGCCTATTAAATTGGGATGGAAGGAGTAGTATTTTGATTTTCTAGGTATCATACCTTCCATTATTATGTTTTTTTTGTCCTGAAATGATTATTCAATTTAAATTTTTAATTTTTTAGTATTTCATCAATTCTAAAATGATAAAAAGCAGAACTCGACAACGATTTTCAAACCGAGGAACTAAAAAAATAAAAATTTGATATATTTTTTAACAAATCCCATCCCCAAATTTCAAAGGCACAAAGAAGGGGGCAAAATATGAATGAATGAAGACTGCGGCCGCGAGAATTAAGGTGATCACATTCACACAAACGTTACAGTCATTTGACAGTTCATTGGTTGGGATTTTATTTATTATTATGTCTCTAGATCTCTTTAATTAATTACTTCCCCTTTCATTCAGCCAGTCAAAAAAGTTTCACATGTTTTCATGGAAAAGAAGAAAAAAAAAAAGAGGACTTTGATTTCACCAATTTCACCCGAATCAATAAATGCATTTTCATGCCTCCCCATCTACCAATCTCATGGAAGAAGTAAGAAAGAGCAAAAGAAAAGTTTTAGGCTTTGTTTCATTTTTTTAAAGGTTGTATTTTTTTATTTTTAATACAAAATTATACTAGAAATTAAAATATAAATCGGACAATGAAATATTAGTGGATATGATTTTATTTATTTATTTTTGAAAACATGGTGGATAAGATTGATTATCCATCTCCTTAATTTTATAGAGTTAGCATTTAGACATGCTCATATTGTCACAATAAAATTTTTCAAAACACTCTTACAACAAATTGCATTATCTAAAACTTTTGGTCATTAGTATGTGAATATAACAAGGAAAAATGAATTTATATTAGGAGAGTTTCCCCCAAAGGAGACTCGACTGAGTGCAGATTAATTTGAATGCAACGTACATAGTATTAAAAAAAAAAAAAACTGAATTTAGTTCCCAAAGACCGATTAGTTTTCTGTTTTCGGCTTAAATATGCAATTTTGTACTATTAGTCTATTATTACTACAGTACGACTGTTTTTGCCGTATAACGTCAGATTGTGTCCTATTTATTAACGGATAATATTTGTCAATGAAATATGTGATGTTACCCTAGTAGTATAAATGTCATGTTCTTCTAATTAAAATTTTTCATGATTTGATTCGAACTCGAAACACCTAACGAAATTGTAGTAAACTATTAGAAGTACTTTTGGAAACACAATATTTTTTATTTTTATTTTTTGCTAGAAAGAACGGAACACAATATTTATTACAGTAGTACGGTAATAAAACTTACCCGAACTAATTAGTATGTCAAATCTTTTCCAAAACTTGAAAATATTAACCAAATCCTAACCCCCTTGAAGAATCCTATCCCCACGAAATTTTAAAGAATGTTTCACTCTGAATATATTTTTGTTTTAGATTTGATACAAAAAAAAAAGATTTGATTCCCCCTAAACATGGGTCTTAATGCTAGGATCAAAATTAAACAAAACACTCGTAAAAAAATCTATTTTTTTTTTGAAAAAAATAACATTAATATCTATAGACTGATAAATAATCAAAGGTGAATGATCTCTTTTTTGGTCTCCCATACTCATTCAAAGCAACTCACAACCCAATGCAACATAGTAAAAAATGGTACACTTATCATTTCCAATAAAATCAAACTAGTTTATAGAAATGAAAAACGTGTAGCAGTACGCAGAAAATTTACATTACCGATTCACCACATATTTTTATTGGTACTATAGAAGTAACTACAAAATTATTACCTCCGTCTCACAAAAATAGTTCATATTGAGATTTTAAATTTGTATTAAAAATAGTACAAAACTCAAGACTCAATGTGACCAATTTTACTGGACGGAGGGAATATTTTTTTTTTGGTATATATCTTATTTGATGTCCGAAATTATTATTCTGACTCATCCGGTCTAAGTTTTTTTTGTAGTAAATATTGGCTTTTCCTATTTTATTATTAAAGAAAGTATTATGTGATACAACAATAGCACACAATATTTTCTGGTAATAAGGCCTTTGCTGTTCTTCTTTACAAGGTCCACCAGCCCTGACCCCCTAAAAACACAGCCTTCTCTCCTCCACTGTCTAAAACTAAAAAGAGCAGTGTCGGTGACACACGGCACACACAGTCACGCACTGGTTTAAAAAGAAGGTGGCCGAAACACAAAAAATAAAAAGCAGACTGTGAAAAAAAGAACATCAAACTCAGAAAAAGGTACCTTACCACCACCACCACCATCGTCAAAGAATTTTGACATAGACACTCTGCTTCATTCTATTTCTGCCACGTTTTTTTGTTTCTTTCTTTTCTTTTTTTTTTCTTGGTATTTTTTCTCTTCTCACAAAAACCCACTTCGTATATCAACCAACAACTAACTAAATCTAGGTGTATAGGTGTAGTAGTGGGAAGTGAGGAGAATTAGTCCAACACAATCTAACCGTTGGGGGTGGTACTGTTTGTTTAGGAGTTTTTTTCATCATTTTATCCATAAAGTGTTTTCCGCTACTGATTTTACTGCTAATTATTTGGTGAGAGAGAGTGAAAAACTGAACCAAAACTCTTTTATTTCCCAGTTTAAACTTGAAAAGCTTGCAGCTGTTGATTAAATTGTTTTTAATAATTTTGATTTAATTATTTAAAAAATAGTATTTATGGTGATATAATCTGTGCCCAGACCCCATGTGAGATGGCCCTTTACTGAGGCTTATAATGATGATGGCCCCTCTTTATATTCTGTGAGAAAAAATTTCACTTGGGTTGAAGAGGAAGAGAAAAAGGGTGCATTGTTCCTAGATTTTTGACACCTTTTTGCTGCTTCTTCCTTGCTTACTATCAAAATCATCAAAGACTTTGAGGTTCTTTGAGCCTATATTACACGGCAATACTCCAATTACTATTTTAAGACATTGTAGTATTGTATTATTTTGGGACGTTATCATCCTCACTTCAGAAGAGAGTAGCTAGCTATGGCGGGATTATTTGTGTTGCTTCTGCTCTTCCATTGTAGTCTATTTGCTCCGCTGAGCCTTGCTTCCACGGTATGATTCTGCTTTGCTCAACTTGGTTTTCTTGCTTTGATCTTTTTACTTTCTCCTCCTTTCATAGCACCTCTGAGCAGGTTTTTTACTCTTGGTTGGTTCTGTTCAATTGAAGTTTTGATAACTAACCCTTTGAAGTTATGAACTCATTGGGTGTCTCTGTTTGAAGGAATTCTGTGAAATTCAGGTGAAGGGAGTGTTTTACCTTTTTTTTTTAATTCTATGCCAGCAAAGGAAGATCATGCCATCAAAGAAGTGTTTGATTGAATTTTAATAGTTAACCAAAATTTTGAACTTTAATAGCTAATTTTTTAATGGTTAACGAACCTGGTTTTTCAATGGTTAACAATCCTGTTTTGGGATTATTGAATTTTGTCTGAGGGAATTGCATGAATTTGGCTGCCGGCCTGAGTGGAAGAGTGCTATGGCTCTGTAACCGCCTCCGTGTGGAGAAGTAATTAATGCCCAGATGTACCTTAAGTCATCCATCCCTTAATCCAAGGCGGCATAATTGGAAAATTCACAAATAGAAGTTGCTGATGATGTAGTTTTTAATTGTAATCTTAAACTCCATTAAGTTAATTACACCAGTGAGAATTACAGAAGATATTATTACCAAGTGGCATATGAATACAGTGTTACTTTGGTACTGCAATACAGGCTTCCAAAGTTAACGTCTAATGTATTACCGTTTCGAGTTTTATAAGATTAGTGTGCTAGGGAGCCTTAATGATGATGATTTCATGATTTGTCTTTCAGGAATTGATTGCTTCAAAGCCTAGGCATTCACGATTGCTTAAGGGTGCTCTACAACGCCAAACGGTAAGTTTGCCAACCATAAACACACTTTTTGTTATGGAGCAACAATGTATTAAGTATGTGTTCTTTGTTTTTAGACTTTGGAGGAAGGGTATGAATTATGGAAGCCATTGCCCGATCAAGGATGGAAACCTTACAGAGAATTTGGTATCAAATCAAGTAAGCCAAGTTTTCTAGTCTCTTTTGGTCATTATTGATGTTGTTATTTGAATATTAACAAAATTCTACACGATTTTCAAATAGGATTACCCGAAACATCTGAAGGTTATATTCAGGTTTTCCTAGATGGAGGACTAAATCAACAACGAATGGGGGTACGTTTTTGTTTTAAATTTGACTAATAAGTTATGACAAACGTTTCATGCATTTTCTTAAAGTTGATTAATGCATAATAATTTTTTGCTGCATAATACAGATTTGTGATGCTGTTGCTGTCGCAAAGATTCTAAATGCAACCCTTGTTGTCCCATACTTGGAAGTGAATCCTGTTTGGCAAGATTCAAGGTCATTGGTCATTGATCTTATGTCATTTATCATGCCTCTTTGGTTTTTGAATGTTGTTATGGACTATTATTAACAAATTTACTGTTTCATAAACTTTGTCATGCAGCTCATTCACGGATATCTTTGATGTGGATCATTTCATTAGCGTACTAAAAGACGACATTCGTATAGTTAAAGAGTTGCCCGATGAGTACTCATGGAGCACTAGAGAGTATTACTCTATAGCCATTCGAGCTACTAGGATTAAAACAGCCCCAGTTCATTCTTCAGCTCACTGGTATCTGGATAATGTATTGCCTGTTCTGCAAAGGTATGTGCTGTGATTTAATCTATTTTGAGTATATGCAAAAAAAATTGATTGATGTTATGCATTGTGATATAGTCATCTTGCTGGAATCTGATGTGATTGTCTCTAACCTTGCTATATTTGTATTATTTGTATTAATTCTGAAAATTCAGCTATGGGATTGCTGCGATATCTCCATTTTCTCACCGGTTGGCTTTTGACAACATGCCCATGGAAATCCAACGTTTGCGTTGTAAAGTGAACTTTCAAGCTTTAGTTTTTGTTCCTCACATCAGAGCTCTTGGAGATGCTATTGTCAGTCGCCTCACTAGTGAGACGGAGGGTGGTAACTACCTCAGGGAGGTTACTGAATCTGGAGGCAAACCGGGAAGTGGAAAGTATGTTGTTGTACATCTTCGTTTTGACAAGGTAAAATTTGTTTTAAACTTATTCTAGATATAATCTATATTATGTGTGCTTTGTCCTTAACATATAGTTGCTACCTTGATAGGATATGGCTGCCCATTCTGCCTGTGATTTTGGTGGGGGCAAGGCTGAAAAACTAGCTCTGGCAAAGTACCGGCAAATAATCTGGCAAGGAAGGGTCTTGAATTCTCAATTCACCGATGAGGAGTTGAGAAGTCAAGGAAGGTGCCCGCTTACGCCAGAAGAGATTGGACTCGTGCTTGCAGCTTTGGGTTTTGACAACAGTACTCGCTTGTATCTTGCATCCCACAAGGTTCATATCTTATGTTCTCAACTGAAAGTTTATGGTTACTCCCCTGAATTTATGTCACTGTTTTCCTTATGTTTGAATTGCATTCTTCTTCTACCAGGTCTACGGTGGGGAGGCAAGGATATTGACCTTGCGAGACTTATTCCCTCTAATGCAAGATAAGAAGAGCCTTGCCTCTTCAGAGGAAAGAGCTAATATCAAAGGGAAGGCGTCCTTATTAGCTGCTGTAGATTACTATGTCGGCATGCAAGCCGATATCTTTGTTTCTGCTTCTCCAGGAAATATGCACAATGCCATGGTAAGATCCCCATGCAGTAAACATGCATTGAAGTATGATTTCATTATTGTCATGATCACCCTTTGTATTAAGGCAGGTTGTGACGGCGATTTTGATTTGAAATGGAAAACAGGTCGGACATCGAACATACATGAACATGAAGACCATAAGGCCAAACATGCAGTTGCTAGGGCCGCTGTTCTTGAACAAAAGCCTGAGTTGGCCAGAGTTCCAAGCAGCAGTGGTTGAAGGACACAGAAATAGACATGGTAACATCAAATTACGCAAAGGAGAGCAATCCATCTATACATATCCTGCTCCAGATTGCATGTGTCAAGAAGCTTAAAATCATCATATTCGCCGTGGTCTGCCGTGGTCGTTAGTAGTAAGTAAATTAGTAAAGATTCATAAATCCCTCTGGTAGATTTAGGAGGATTCATTACACTTCTTCCACATATATATATATATATATATATATATAAAATATCAGTAATTGCTAAATAATCCCTGAAAGTAGTGCAGATTAGAAAGTTGGTAGGAAGGAATAAATGTAGTGGAGTGGTAGGGAGACCCCATTTTGTGAGATCTTTGTAGAATGTGGTCCAGCAGAGAAGAACATTGGAATACAAATTTATCTTGTACTATATAATAAGTTTAGTATATATTACCATTCACATATATGATATGATATGGGGTATTTTTGACCCCATTGATTTTATTCTATTATTGTTTTTTCTGTAGTCCAAAAGGTGTTCAATCCGTGTACAGCTCAATCAAATGAATAACCCAATCATTTTCTGTCACAATTGCATTTTGATTGCTTTTTATATTTTGCCAATCTGTCTGGCCCCGCTGCGTGTTGGCCGGAGATGATAGCATTCAATGTGGTGTTGTCTTTTGAGTTCAAAAGATGAATTTTACTTGATTTAATTGAGATGTATCCTTTTGTTTTTGGAATGGTTTTTTGATATTCTAATCGAGAATGAGACAAAGCACATGATCGAAGACTGAATTTGCGGAGATTATCATCTGGGAATTATCAGTAAGATTGAATAAAAAAAGGAGTTCCTATAGAATCAAGGACTGAAAGACAACCATTTAAAACCATTTTCTCAAATAGTAAGGATATTTCAGATAATCAGCTAAATCTTGCGGGTGTTTTTGATATTATTAACCCCAAATGTATATATTTCCTCGGTTTAGTTTATATTTTCATTTTTATTTCAAATTATACTAAAGTCGAAAATGTAAACTGGACAATAACTTTAAGTACGTTAGGTTAATATGGAGGGGGCCGGCGCTACGATGGAATCACAGATGATAATGCTTTAGTATTAACCTTTCAAAGTTAATTAATTGTATTTTTGAATTCAGCCCGGAGGAGTATCGAAGTTATGTTTAATTGAAACGAAGGGAGGGGAGGAGGAGAGTGAGGAATCAGAGATGATGGTTGAAGAAGAAGAAGAAACCCTGGCTACTTTGGATTCAAAGCTCTTTGATGCCGTGGTGCTCGATCAAAATGATATGTTTGTGAAGACGTTGAAGGACATTACGCGTCTTCATCCAGGATTTAAGTGGACGCTTTGCGATGATCCTTTTAACATGATATTTGGATTTGACGCTGCAAATTGTTTGAAAGCCGTGCTGGATGGAGAAACCTCTGGATTTTTGGAATTCAATGGTGTCAATGCTGCTGTTCCATTGTATGACAGCACTGAAGAAGAACAACTTGTTCCTATATTGCACAAGGCAGCTAAATACGGAGCCTTTGAGATCACAAACTTGTGTTTCCCGGGGAATGAGGATCAACTCAACCTCAGAGTCGATATCGATCTTGATGGCTTGAAAGGTGTCCAACCCCTGACTTTAGCAGTCGAAAACGTGGCCCGGTATTAGATTTTTCAACAGAGAATGTGCTTTATCATCAAATTCCGTCCGCCGGATCCTTTGGATTGCTAATAAGCTTGGCCGTGCACTTTGAAATAAGGTATCGGCCAGGGTGACTTTTCTGGTTTATTTTCTGGTTAGTGATTTATAATTTGGGCCAATGTAATAAAATGCTGATATTTTATACTTACCGGACTAGTATACATTCCCAATTTCATATTGTTTAATGATCAGATTTTTTTACGAATATTAATCGAGACAAAGCACACGATGCGTCGAACACTGAGATTAAATGTACGTAAAACAAATGCAGTGAGAAATTAATCTAAAAAGAGATCCTATAGAATCAAGGACTGTTAAAAACAAACATTAAAACGATCTTTGAATTTTAGCAATCTCTACAGACTTTGTGGAGGTTTAATAAAATTTCCATTCCACATTTGGGTCGCTTTTTCTGTTTTTCTTTTTTTTTTTTTCCCCGTTTCCCTCTGTAAAATCCAACTTTTGTTCATGTACAGCAGTTAGAATTTCCCTCATGTACAGGGAAAACCAAAAAAATGCACAATATTTAGCATTAGTCAAGACTCGAGAGAGATCGTCGACATTCATTCCTGCTGATCCCTCTGATCTGATGATGACTTGGGACCGTCTACTGAATCTTTATTATCCTTTTTATCCTTGTCCACCATCTGACCACCACCTCCACTCCGCACCGATGCCATTTCCTTCATCTCTGCAGCAGAATTTGGTTGTGAGACCATCCCTTCTTCAATTGGAAGGGTTCTCTTCGACCCCTCTAAAGCAACGCCCAGCACGATGTTCTCCTCTATGATAGGCTTTGCTGCAGCCGGCTGTGAACTAGGCAACCATTCATCTTCTTGTTTCGTTTGCTTAGTTGTGGGCGAAGTCACTGCCCTATCCTCTCCAGTACCATTGCCTGGAGCACTACCCTGGACAGCCTTCATAGGTTGCTTACTAGTAGTTGCTTTTTGGGTTCTGCTTTCAACTGGGGGATTGGGATCAACAGCTGGCGAGTCAATAGCCTTCTCTTCACTCTTATGCACTGCTGATGATGACATTTTGACTTGAACTTTGTCACTGAGCTTGGGACCTGCGGAAGGCTTTGCTTCAACTTTATTGACTGCTGCTTCTTTGTTGTTGGGATTTGGTGCTTCCTCATCCTTAGCATTAGCTAGAGGAGCAGATGTTGAAGTCTCCTTGTCTGTCTCCTTGTCATTGGATGGAGTTTCTTTTACTTTAGAATCAGAATTTTGAACTGCTGTTCCTTTACCATCTGCCTTATTATCTGATGAAGACTTCACTGTACCCTTATTTTTCATCCTATCTTCCCCATTGATAATCTTGTAAGGAGGCTCAATGAAGAGCAGTGGGCGTTTTGACGCTTGACCCTGATTGAAGATGGAATCTGAAAATGGTATATTCTCCATATCAGCATCGCTGTATATTTTCTGCACTGTACGAATTGGAGTGGCAAGACGAGCACGGTGATGCCGAATGACTCTGAGCAAATCCAGCAGTATGGTTTCCTGTGTTTTTCACCATGAAAAACAAAAACAATGAGCTATTCCCAACATGTGCAATCATAGAAAAGATGAAACAAAAGAAGTATCAATGCAAATCTAGGCTTATGCCTCCTTTTTTGTACCACAAAATAAAATTAAAAAAAAATAAAAATAGTATCAATGCAAAAGAAATTGAACAGTTAAGCCCTCACCTTGACGCACAGGTACTCTTCAAAATGGGAGGTTTTCACAAAGCACGACACCAGTATCTGCAAAATGATTGAATACAAAAGAGCCTGCTTATGGAATGTTCAAAAAAGAGAGACATGACACACTCAAAAGTTATTGAAGACAGAAAATTGCAGATATGTATAAAGTGTAAAGGAAATTCAAGATTTAACATGACAGCAAGAGTTGTTTGTTTTTCCCCTCCACCACGTTAAGTGTTAGTATAAATCTTGTTGAACCAGCAAAAGAATCTGGTCACTTGGGAACAGAGAATTCATCAAAAGAGAATTACTAAGCACCCAAAATTAAAGAAAATCTGCAGCCTAACATTCAGGTCTCAGTTACCATAATACATCCATGAATGGACTCAATAATTCTTTCAATCATAACGAGATCCAAAAGAATTCGGCAAATATAATTAAGAAAAAACTTAAAAACTGACCATTAAGGCCTGATTTTCAGGATTAATATTCTCCAGGAACACTCTTCTGTGCAACTTCTGCTGTTCGACTTGAGGATTTTTAGACAAAACTTTACGCATATCAGCTACAATGCTCTGAATGCAGAAAACATAAGTAATTTAGTCATAGGGAAGAAAAGGTAATACTTCTGAATCTAATTTTTTTTATATGGAAAAAGTACCAGAAACTTACATTTATTTTGTTCACATCTAAGTGACTAATGGCTAGGTGGGTTTTTATACGCCAATGAGTCTTTTGACTCAGATTTCTAACAACATTGACCGTGAACTTGTGGTTTGGAATGTGAACAGCTTCACGATCTTCACCTCTTATTATCGTAGGTGACCACCATCCCACATGCTGCAACCAGAATACAAAAAATAGGGAGAAAGGTTAGACTATCAGTGAATGAAAAAAAATGCACTCTGTACTTCCTTATTAGGGTTCCTTTATTAAAAAAAAAAAAGGGGTTCTAAGAAACAGTGGTTTTTTTTGTTTTTTTTTTTTGCTGCAAAAAATAAAAACTGAGAAAGCTCTCAAGTACTTCCCTCTGCCCTTTTTTACATTTTGTTACACTAAAGCAAAACAGGTTAGTAAGAGAGACAAACCTCGACAGTACCAGAAACTTCATAGCCTTCAATCTTCGTCTGAATCCATTCATTCACAACAAATGGCCTTGTAGCATGAATCATTGCACTTGAAAGAAAATTGGTGAATATCTGAGCATCATAACAAATGAAACAAATGATGAGCAGAATACACTTCAATATCAAGTATGTCCTATTTTCCTAGACCGCTGGATGTATACAAGGAGAAGGCTAAACATATATACCTCACGACCAGCCAGAGTCAGCAAAACAGTACCAAGTCCTCCAGCAGTTAGCCATTTCTGGGTCGAGAAACCTAGCAACTCCATAAATAATGAGACAGCAGCAACCCACACAGCTGTATACACAGCTTTTCCAGCAAACTGAAATCCCATCTGTGATAAGCAAAGAAAATAAAACAAAGTTACTTTCAATCACCAACAAAATTATCCAGTTTCAGCATGTAAAGTTTTATATCAGTCAAATACCAAACCAAGGGGTTCTCATGTTTCGTAAATAGTACAATTCCAATGCAAACCCACATATATAGAATGAATCAGAGTACGAGATCATACATTCCTTGTATCAGATGGATCATTTGTCTCCATGAAGAATTTCTGTGCTTGCTGAATCACACTGCAAAAAGTGAACAGATTTTATTTAAGCTCTTTTTAATGCCAATACACCTCAAAAAAAAAAATTAATAATAATAATAATAATAATAATAATAATAATAATAATAATAATAATAATAAAATACCTAGGTTAATCTAAACCAAAGTGAAGTAAAACAGAGACATCTTTTGGCATCCATCATGCTAAAATTTGAGAATAATCAAAAGAAGCTAAAACTAGGGAAGCAGAGTTACTGTACTGCTGTACTACTAGATTGAGAAATTCATCAAGATCTTAGCATTGAAGATAGCTGAGAACTCCTATCAGTAAATAAAGCTTCCATAAAGAAATGTTCACCTTGATAAACAATAGGCAAATGCTAGAACTGTTGACAATGATCTCACAAAAGTCAACAGCCGTTGCTTAACAAGTTGACTGGCCTCTGTAGGAAGAACCACTGGGTCCAATGCTCTGAAGACAAAAGTTAGTACCATTCAGTAGAAAGAAGTAAAGTAAGGGTTCCTGTTGCGTCCTGGAATAGAGATATGACCTGCAAACAAGAAGTGCCCCAGACCACAGCAGCAACGGTTGTAGATAAGAGGTCAATAAGTAATGTGTGCTACTCTTTTGCCAAGTATTATCACTCTTCTGCAAAAGTCACGGATATTTCTAATATTGAATCAAGGGAATTCCCACAACATAACATTCAATGGGAAATTGAAGTGAAGAAAGTGACATACATGGAGGAACAGATTTCGGCTTTGCCTTACAAGGGGCCCAATACCCCATATTGCAAAAACAACCATACCAACTGCAGGCACCAACTTATGCACCAATGGGTTACTTTGATAAGTATTGTATGATCTGCAGGTAAAAGAGTAAATTTGATAGTGAGAGAAAGATAGCCACGTCCATATGATTAATTAAAGTATAAAATTAAGTTGGCTGTTTGGGGTGGTAGGAACAGGCAAAGTGCTTTGGCATAATAAATTCATATTATCGATTGTCACATGTCATCTTGCACACCCTTCCTCTATTACTATCAAAGAAATTTTTGGCATTAGAAATAGTCAGCACGCAGGATCTCCAGCATATTCCAGGATACCTTATGCTAAAAGAAAAGCAGGAAAATCATCACAAAATGGTAAACTGAAATTGGCCATATAAATCCCTAAAACTAACTACAATAACATGTTCTCATCAAAAGGTCATTCTTTTGAGAATTGAAAGTAATATGCACCAGGAATACTTCCATACGTTTTTTGTATCTAGACGAAAGGAAGTGAAACCCAAATGAAGCATTCACCTTATTAGAGTTAAGGCGGCATTCTTAACCAAAGAAAAGTCCACGGTGTGACTGGGGATTAGAGAAGCGTTACACTTAAACTGATTCTGTCGAGAGGGGAGCGAGTTATTCTGCCAATGCGATCTACTCGAAAGATGTGGATTCCAAGGATTACGCTGCAGAAATGAAACACGATGCAAAATAAATGGTCCGTTCATGAAACTATCCACATATCTTACATTCTAGTTCGCAAATAATTTTAACCAAATGGCAAGGAAAAAAAAAAGTTTCTGATCTTGATTTTGTGCCAATCCTACCGCCAGAAGCTCATAAATTGCAAGCCCTGACTAGATTCATTGGCTGCACATGCAAGTATTACATCTCCTTGCACTCTCAGCACATAACTGCTATCAAAGACTAGTATCGTCCTTCCATTCAGAATATGACAGTTAAGTGACAATCCAAAAACTATCAAACCATGGGAGGCAGAAACCTAATCTCAACAAAACCTAATCTCAACAAGATAGGTTCAAGAAAAACTATTTCTTAAGCTTCCTGCCTATGATACGAGAGACAAAAAAGATAAACCTAGCATGCCTATGTAATTTTTCTTGATCACCATGTCTCTGATAAGCAATTAAGAAGACTGTATCCAGCGAAAACTCTCTGAATAAGCATGTCCCAGAACAGGAAACCCTTCAGTTGCTGCTATGAGCATCAATTACATCCTAGGAGATTAGCCAAAGAGTCCTACTTATTTTGCTATAAAAACATCTGCATCGGTGGGTTTCAAAGAACACGGTTAAACTGATTTCCTCGAATGTAACTATGCACGGCACCAATTACTCTGTACTCTATGATCAGCTAATAATTCCGACCACAACGCCCACAAAAAAAAAAAAAAAGAGGATACAGTAAACACCAAATTCTAAATATGAGTGGCAAAACATACCAAAGTTATCGACGTAAATTTGCGGCCCATGAAACTTGATTTGTACCGTCCAGTCACATTCTGCAGTAAAAGCATATTGCACAACATTTAAAAAAAAAAAGAAGTAATTACTTTAATCAGGTAACAGAAAATTAAAGACTCTCTGTACAATCATATACCCGAAATTGTTTATTGCACACGTGGTTCGTACAAACTCCCAATTCATGGGAAAGTTGCAAAGAACCAGCCGCCATTATTAGTTGGACAAACTTTGCGACCACTTAAAATTCCCCAAGCAGCAACATCAAATGATTCACTCTTAAAATTCCATAGAAGTTAATTCATCAAAGCCCTATTTCCGTTTAACCTGCCAGACAAACAACACCAATAATAATTGCATAAGTTCCGGTAAAAAAAAACAACCAGAAACTAAAACTTAATTTCCCCCGAAAGAAAATTACTCCAATTAATTTCACTTTTCTAAGGAAATAGTAGTTCAGAATTTAACGAAATTGAACGAATTCAAGCATATTACAAAATAATAAGAATAAAAAAAAAACTTACCCGGCGGTGACAACGGCGGAGTTCAGGAAACAGGTGGTGGTGAGACGGTGTTTACCGGTGAAAGGAAAATAAAAAGTCAGGGATTGGCGTGCGTGGATTCTGTTTTTACTACTTTTCTTTGAGTAACGTGGACCCCACCAAAATGCTGAAGGTATATGCTGGCCACGTGGCAGGAAAATTAAAAAACGTTTTCCTCAATGCTTGAAATCGTATTGGCCAACAAAGAAGAGTTAGGAGACGTTTGTTTTGTTAGCTGGAAACGGAATTGAATGATGACGGAAGGATTTGATTAATCAGGGATTCACAAATCGCATAATGCCGTTTGGTTTAACATATGGATTGGGAAAAAAAATAACATAAAAATTATTTTTACCATCATTATCAAAATAAAAGAATTAAAGACCCTTTTTCCTGTCCACGGTCTATTCCTCCCTTTCACCTGGACAGTGTCTCTTCACCACCACTGCCCACCAAGAGCCACCACCACTTATCATGAGACCGTTTTCTCCACCACCATCATCAACACCCTGCAAAAATCTCCTTTATTTTAAATTCAATCAAGTCCACGAGTCAAACATTAAACTGATAGTTCTTTTCCGTTATTATTAACGGACCTAAACAAACAGATCGAAGAAGGAGATTTTAGATCTGAAAACGACTAAAGATGGATTGTAAAATCATATAATCACATACAAAAAAGAAAACAAAACTTTCTCTCGCCGTTACTGATCACAACTCCATGTCGAAATTTCATGTGTGGTTTTTCATGTTAATCTATCAGGAAACTTATGAAGGAAAAAAAAAAAAAAAAAAAAGTGAGAAAAGTGAAAGGAAAGAGAAGAAAACGTACTGGGAAAGAAGTTGCAGAAGTAAAGAGAACACGAGAGACAGAGAGATGAAAGGAAGAAGAAAGAGAAAATACTATAATACTCCCTCCGCTTCTTATTATAAGACATTTTGACTTTTCCTAAATTAAACTTAGTACGCATTTTTTGTTAACAAAAAAAACTTAAATATATCATTCCTCATGTTCTATTGATTGTTATGAAATATTTTTAAGGTTTTTTTATCGATTAAAAATGTGTACTAAATTTAACTTAGTAAAAGTCAAAATGCCTTATAATAAGTACCGGAAGAGTAATGTTTTTCTTTGAAAAAAAAAAGATAAAAAGATTAAAGTCGAATCCATAGGGGGAGTGGGGGATTGGTTCTTTTGGAATCGCCCATTCCCGGGAATAGTGAATCCCATTAACCAAACGTTCCATTCGATTCTGAATCCAAATCCTGATTCCGTTTCCCCCTCAACAAACGGCTCCTTAGATTATTCTATTTATTTATGTATATATATATATTGGGATTCTTTGGGTTTTCAAACTCAATTCGATAAATTCAATCGATTCACAGCAATGGCGGATGACAAGAAGGTGAACGAAGAAGCAGCCCAAATTTTGGGTCTTTTCCAGAACCTTCCTCGTCTTGTAGTCTTCGATCTCGATTATACTCTCTGGCCTTTTTACTGGTAACTATTTTGTGCTCTCTGCTTTTTCCAAGTTTTCATTTTGATTGGCAATTGAATGAGCTCACTTTTGATTTGTTCTGTATTTTTCTTTGGGATTTCTTCCATATTGTTGCTGTGTAATTTTTGTGTAATAAATAATACCACAACAACAGCTGTGAAATTATTTCTGCAATTTATTGAATTTCTTTGGTTTCACTTGTAGTAAAGCATATAATCTATCCATACGATCAAGCTTCGTTGTAATAGTATAGGTACTTCCGTCTAATGTATACAATTTATATGGGTGCAGTTCACAAAAAAAACCAAAAAATTAAAAAAAAAAAAAAAAAAATTTGTAGTGAAGCTTTGCAGACCAAGGCATTTGTGCATCTACCTATACCGACTGTGTCATGTTTGCCGATAAATGTCACAGTGATTTTGGTTAGGAAGCCAATCCAGACTAATGTGGATGTAAATTTCTTTGTGGATATGCTTTTGTTTTCCATTGGCTTTGTTAAAAGTTGCAGTTAAAATGTGTAGTGTGAATGTAACAAGACGTCTGAAAAGAGTTATAACTAAGATGGGCAATGGATTGTCACTGTCAGGCCCTAAATTCCATAATATTCCAGAAAAGATCATGAAAGAAGACAAGCGAGAGCTGCTGTTCATTAGCTTGTATATTTGGAATGAAATGAATATGTTCAGCTTAAGTACTTAACCGTTGTTTAATTTGCCCTTCTTCTTTCCTTTCATTTACCTGTTGGTGTTTATTTTGAGTTTGCAATGTTGAGGTTCGAAATTGTTAGCTCATTTCAGCACATATCCTCCTAAAACATCAGTGATCATGGTAGTAGAAACTAATTTTTTTTTTTTTCTATTTGTGTGATAAAAAACTTTGTGATTTTCTCAGTGAATGTTACTATGAGAGTGATACCCCATATTTGTATCCTCATGCTAGAGGGATCATAGATGCTCTGAAGGATCGAGGAATTGAGATGGCCATTGCTTCAAGATCGCCAGCTCGCGAGATAGCTACAACTTTTCTTGAAAAGTTGGGCATAAGGTCTATCTTTGTTGCTGAGGTAAGCTTGAATAGAATAATTGAAACTGCGATGTGAGATGAAGCAAACAGAATATAGTCTACTTTCTATGTGTTCCATGTCATAATGCAATTTGAATTATCTGCACAACGATAAAATTGCTGATTCCATCTCCAAGCTTTTCACATTTATTTTTGGGATGATTAATTCTTATGGTCATGGTGGTACCAGGAGATATTCTCGAGCTGGACACACAAGACACAGCATTTTCAGAAAATTCACAAGAAGACTGGAATACCCTTTGAGTCAATGCTGTTCTTTGATGATGAAGATAGAAATATTGAAGCGGTAGGAGTTTTGTTTCTAAAGCAATGTTTTACTCTCGGTGGCCTAGGATGCATGATTTATTAACCAAAGTAATCATAAAATTGTTTTCAGGTCTCAAAAATGGGCGTTACAAGTGTTTTAGTTTATGATGGAGTAACACTTGAGGCTTTGAGACAGGGACTCTCCGACTTCTCCCAAGTATCCAGTTCAAATGGCAGAAAGAAGACAAAATAATCTTTCGATTATTGGAAATTAAGGCGGATTTGTGGGTTGAAACTTAAAGTAGACAGTTTATACCTTGAAAAATGTTACTCATGGACAAAGTTGTATGTATTAATAGAATCCTGGTAGTACCTTTTAGACTCTTATTATTATTAGTCAGAAGTAACACAGGTGAAAAAAGTGACTCTTGAGTAAAGAAAATCTGGAATAATTGGTGGTTAATTCAGATTGAATAAAAGAACCTGACTGCTGTTCAAAGTTAGATAATTTTGAACTAAATTTAAGCATACCTGCTCTGATTTAAATGAAAAGCCAAAGCGGTATGATGGTACACAGCAAAGCTAAAATGGTGATTATTGCGTACAACTATAAATATCAATTGCATGCATAAAATCAAGACGGCTCAACTAGCTATTGAGAGCTCTAAACGGCAATCGTTCGTCAATGATTGCTGCTTCAGCCTTCTTCTTGCCTTTAGGAGATGAATACAGGTTGCTGTTGCTGTTCTCCTTCAATGCATCAGTTGTTCTGAACTCATTTGAATCGAAAGTTTGCACTATACTTCTCAAGCTTTCCATTAGCTGCACATCATCCATTGACAACTTGTTCATTCTGTCAGATAGCCTGTTTAGAGTGTCCAGCAAACAATCCCGCTCTGACGATAATTTCGTTACATCTTCAGCCATCTTGCTATTTTCATCCCGAAGCTTCTGAATGACAATATCTGATGTCTTTGCTTGTCGTAGAAGCTCTTTCAGATCAAGCAACTCATTTTCCAACTCCTGAATGATCAAGTTTTTCTCCTCGATTGTTACCTCCTTCAAAAACACGGATGTTGTGATCTTCTGCCATGCTTCTCTAAAGATATTCATCTCTGATTGCATTCCAGATAGTCTAGAGGAAAAAGATGTTGTAGAACTCTCAAACTCTTGTTCCAGTGACTTCACAAGCTGCTGCAGATTTTCTATTCTCTGTTCTCTCTCTTCCACAAGATGGTGGAGGCTCTCCTTATCGTGCGAATCAAGTTCCTGATTCAATTGAATGATTTGCTCATGCAGTCCATTTATGATATTGTTTTTCTCCTCAAGCTGATTCAAGAGGCCTTCTTTTTCTTGATTCAGATTGACTTCAAGAGCCACTTCTGCAAGAAGAGAAGCCTCCACTTGCCTGCGCATTTGGTGATTTTCTTCAAGGGCGACTTTCAGGTGTTCAGCAATGGACTTCCACAGTTGTAACTCAAAATCAGCTTTGTTTACTTCACAAAATCTTTCATCCAATTCTTCATTTGCTTTAGCCAGTGTCCTACGAGCCTTCTTCAAGTCGCTTTTCAAGCTCCTCAATTCTGCTTGAAGAGAAACTTCTACGACCCTATGATTTTCTTGAAGGTTCATTTTTAACTGTTCAACTGCAGATCTCCATAAATGCACACCAAATTCAGATTCAATTCTTCGGCATATTTGCTCTTCCAGCTCTTCATCAGCCACATTCAAGGCCTTCTGAACTTCTTTCAATTCAAATTTCACTCTTATCAACTGCTGCTTTAGTTCAGACTGACTTTCATGCGATTTCCTCAGCATCCTTTCTAGCTTGTCAATCTCTTGATGTTGCATAACTTGTTGTTCTTCCACAAAGTTCACAGATTCAGCTTTCAATGCCAATTGGGAAAACTTCTGGCGCTCTTCTTCAGCATCTAGTTGGGCTTTCACCAGAGCAGTGTTTTTCATCTCCAATTGTGTCAGCAGTTGAGAAATCCTTTCATCAGTCACTTTGTTTTTCTCTTCCAAGTCAGCACACATAACAGCAAGCTTTTTGTGGGCCTCAGTAAATTCCAACTTTAACACCAGTAAGATCAAAGCAGCTTCTTCATCACGCAGTGCAAGCTGATCGAGCAGAGAATCACAAGTTTCTTCATCACGTGATGATAGGTTTTCTACCAAAGAATTATGACCTTTTGCCTCCATTTGTTGCTGATCTATAATCATCTTCTTGCTCTCTAGTTCAGACATGCAGTTCTTCAGCTTCTCCACCCAACTCTCTAGTTCATCTTTCCACTCAGCCTCTTTTAACTTGAGTCTGTCTGAGCAGCCTTTGTGAACCTTTTGAAGATATCTTAACTGAGAAAGGCACTTCTCAAGTTCCTTATTTTTTTTGTCTAAATCAGCATAAACATCATCAAGCTTCATCTTGGCCTCCAAACATACTGACTTCAATACCAATATCATCACAGCAGATTCTTCCTTTTGCGAAGCTTGCTGCATTATAAGGCAATCGTGAGCTTCTGCCTCCATTTTGAGCTGATCTACCAATGCACTCTTGCTATCCAACTCAGAACAGCAACATTTGAGCTTCTCCCTCAAAACATCCAGTTCGGAATTCCATTCTGCTTCCTTAGACTTGAGTCTTGCAGAACAGTCTCGATGCACCTGTTCCAGACCTTTGAGCTTGTTCCGAAGCTTTGTTAAGGAAGAAAAACTTCCTCCTCCTTCCTGAATCTGTGCTTCCTGGAGTTCTTTAAGGGATGCCATCAATTCCTGGTTTTCTTGTTTCAGAACCCTAGCCTGATATTCCATTTCCTTATAAAGGCTCTCTTTTGTACACAAAGTGTTTCTCAAGCTGGCAATGTCTTTATCCCTTTGATCTGTTAAGCTTTCAACAGTGGACTTTGCCTCCTCATATTCAACAAAAACATTGTCAAAATGAGTCTTCAATTCAGAAAGCTCAATTTCCACCCGTTTCCTCTTCGTCTCTTCATGGGCAAGAGCCTGGTTGCACAGTTGCAGGCGGTTTTGAAGGGATTCAGAAATTCTAGTTTGAGACTCTAAGTTTGTCTGCAACCTAGAGATTTCATCAAACAATGAAGCTTTCTCCCTCTCCCACTCTTTCTCACTGACTTGAAACTGATGCTTAAGCTTCTGATGAGCTTCTTCCAAATGGGCAAACTGTTCCTTCTTCCATTTGAGCTGATTTTCATACTTAGTCTTGTCCTCTTCTAACTTAAGCATCACATCAACTTCTCTCCGTTTCAACTCTTGGGATGCTCTAGTCTTTCCACCTCCTGCTGAATCCTTAACTCGAGAAGCAGACACAATTCCCCTAAGCCCTTCAACTTCTTCTTTCAACAATCTGATCTGTTGCTCTTGATCCAGATTCTTTGCATTTGCTTCATCTAAAGCCAATGCCAACCCCTTACTCTCTTCCTCAAATGTTTGAAGTTTCTCTTTGCAATCGGTTCGAAGCTTATCACAGGCCGAAGTCAGGTGCTTGATGGCAGCCTCTTTATCTTTCAAGGTTACCTTTAGCTCTTCATACATTTGCTTTGCAACGCAGATTTCTTCAGCCTTCTCAACTAATTCCTCAGAAAGCTTTTCTATTTTCAAATTAGCGTCCTGAAACTTGCTGAGTTGCTCGTTGTGAGCTCTCTTCAAGCTCTCAGAAAGTTGTAATTTAGCCCGGTAATCCTCCCTGAGCTTTTCAATCTCCGCTTTAGCTTCATCCAACTCTTCATATACTGTCCCCATCTAATTTCCAGAGCTTTAAAACATAAACGCAAATACAAACAAGATAGTAGATTCAGATTCGGGCAATCAACAATCTAAATGGAACTAAACCTTACATGGTTCTAGACTTCAAAACCTCTATCAACTAACAAGCAGATTTTGTGGGCTTTCCGTATCTCCATCAGTTTAGCCCAGAGATTTGCCCTATTAATTTCCCAGCAAGAAAGATGTACAAGACCCTATTGAGGAAAGGCAAAATACTTAAGAAAAAATGCCAGAAATTTTCCAGGAAAAGTTTTTTTTTTTTCCTCAAATTTTCAAGGGGAAAAATACACAATCTTGAGGTCATTGCACTCGTAAATTAACAAATCAACATAGTTAGAAAGGTTTTTTTTTTTTTTTTTCTTTTCCATATATACATGACGCATCGTTATAATAAAAGCAAAGAAAGAAACCCTATATCAACAGCTGATTCATGTCAATTTACCCAGAAATTGTCACTAAACAAATTAAAATTGCGAAATGCCACATGTTTATGCAGTTTCGTAGCAATAATTCCAATAACTGATTAAACGGTGAAGAGAACTGAGAAGTAGCCATGAAATTTTACCTGGGTTTGATCCGTGAGGTTTTCGACAAATGGACAAAGAGAAGGAAATCGTTGAATCTTGATCTTGGTTCTTCTGAGAACGAATCTTTGAAAGTAAAATTTGAAGAAACAAAGTGATTTTTCACTAGCCGTTGGAGATGGGGATTGGGAATGATTGATAACTAACTCTAAAAAACCGTGATCCTCTCTCTTTTGTCCCATTTGTCTTTGATTTGAATTTTAACTGACGGGGTTGAAAGTTTAACGGGTCAGTTAACGGTGTTTGGTCTGAGGTTATGGGCCCAATTTTAACTTTTTCAGGATGGGCTTTTTGAAAGGATGCCCAATAAAAGAGAAACTAGCCCATCTAGTTTCTTCTATTTTTTCAGTTTTCTTTCTTTCTCTTTTCTTTTTAGAGCAAAAAAATAATTACATATGAAAAATGTAAAATGGTGTGTATGGAAAAACTCTCTCTTTGTGGAATTATCAATATTATCACATTAAAACTGGTTCATTTTAAATAAGGGACTTTCGCGACATTTCTTTCCACTCATGGGAAAAAAATAATAAAACAATAATAAATAAGGGAGAAGGATTCTTTTCAATAAATGAATGCCTACCTATCCTTTTGAAAACTTAACATCAAACATAGAGAGATTATTAAAAAAAAAATGTATATAAGGCGTCTTAAAGGTTATTATTATGTGACGTAAACACATTTGTAGCATATTTTCAACTGTTGGTTGTACACTACCAAATTTTGCTACTTTTTTTGGTCTTGTATATTTCTAATTTTGCAATGCTTCACATAGGAGCCAGGAATGCATCAAGTGGGTAGTTTTCAGTTTAATCTGACTTTTATGGTTCAGCGTCTCACAATTGGGCGATAACAACCACCAAATTCATGTTTTTCCACATGCAAAAAAGCTCCAAATGTCTTCTTCAAGGGCTCATTTTTTTTTCCCGCAGAGTCTCCCTATAACCTATCTCTTTCCATCACTCGCATCTATCCATCACTGATTTTCCTACACCAAAAACCTGTGAATCCTTGGACAAGGAGTTCTTTATTAATCATTAAATTGCTGTGGAACCAGAAATTACAAGCTCTTGATCATCTAACCATATATGGTGGATGAACTAACGAAGGATCAAGGTTCGCGCATCGATATGAGAAAATATTAACAAAAAAGATTTGTTTTCAAAGGTAGACCCAATCCCGACTAACACAAATCTAAATTAGTCGGGATGATAGTTTTTGATGTAACGTAGAAACACTAATAATTAAACAGGTTTAACAACAACAAAAAAAGATGAGGTGATATTTTGATTTGTGATATGGTCTAATACTCCCTTAATCAAGAATTATAATTTTTAAATGTGGGGTCACAAAAGAAAGGACTATAATGCCTTGACAATCACTCAACGACTTTTGGACTTTTCCATACTCAAAATAAATTAAAGAAAAATGGTTAACTTTGTTGTTCCAGCTTCCATGCTTTAAGACCCCCTCTCTTTAAAGTTTAAACCATGTACCATCGATCAAGTCGTGACAAAAGAAGATCTATCTGCAATCTCAAAAGTTTACCAATAGCTGAGAATATTGTTATATAGTAGTCTTATATAGGACCTACCACAATTGCGTTGCCGCAAGTAACTACATCATAAATATTACACATAAGATTGCAGGCCAATATGTAATAAAATTTTGTAACCATAACAATATCCCTGTTGGATCAAGTAATTTGAATTTAATTTTCTCACCTTCATAACAAGACATTTTATAGACCAATATGAGACTCATATGTGTACTTCATATGAATATTAAATTCCGTCGTGTAATAGGCCCATCTCTAGAGTTTTCTGCTCTTCTTTTTTTCAGAAAGTTCCAAATTCCAATGGCTTTATAACTTGGATGTTGTATTGTTGTTGAGCCAACCATTTATTCCTCCGGCCAGCTTTGATTGATCCCCCCCATTAACGAGGCCGACATTCACATTAAATTAACAGGTACAAAATGGGAAAAAAGAAGGATGGAAATCAACCCTTTTTTAGCCGTAGTAGGCGCGCGTACGAGAAGTTGTTATCATCATCTTGCACTGAGTCAAACGTTCGTACGTTTATATTTTTTGGGTTTCAGCTAAGCTTTTGTAAATTGCTTGGTGATTTCATCATCACTTCCAACACAATTAACGTACAGAACAACATTAACAAGAGATGACTTTGTCGAAATCTGATTATTGTCGTGTTATGTGGGTAGAAGAAGCACATCACATGCAATTTTGTCCTAATAAGAAGCGCAGAGAAATTTGACAACAAGAAGTGACCATCAAATATACTCAAGTTGGCCACCATTTTTTTTATTACCACTTTTTAGCCCGTCTCTTACAAGTGGGGCAATGGTCATTTTGTTTCTACGCTCATCAAAAATCATCAAAATCAACTTGTGTAATGAAGTTTTGTTTCTAGATTAATGCATGCATTTGGTTGGATTCCAGGGTCTTAATTATCTATTGGTGGTTACCATATACGTATATTTATTGGTTTACTAGATCAACAAGAACATAATTATTGTAATTGAAAAGTCAGGAAAATATCTCCTTACCAAAATTGACCCATAATATACTACTATCTGAGTATGTTGCAATGGAGAGGGGATAATTATAAATTATCCAGCCTATTTTGCAAATCCCTCTTTTTTTGCCCCCTTGTTTTTGCCTCTTTTTCTTTTTGGCCAATGAATATCATAGGAGGCTTTTTCTCCCCTTGTTTTTGCCTATTATTCCAAAGGGCTTTTACTTTTATAGGAGGCTTCCATTTCACTCTCCTTATAGCACTCTGTGTAAAGACTGGAATACAAAAGTCATCTCAAGAAAAGTGAGGAAAAAGGATGCTACAATAAATCAGCTTTAAAATTATACTCCCTTCGTCCGTAATTATTACACAATAATTTTTAGTTTAAATTTTACTAAAAATAAAATTTTAAACTGGACAATAATTTTAAAACAGAGAGAGTACTATATATCGTTAATGCACCTTTTGCTTACATTCTTTGGGATTAATAGAATACATTCAGTTGAGGAAGTTTTGTCAAACATCTTACGCCACTCTCCCTCTCCCTTTAACTCTTAGCTAAGAGACTGCATTAGGTCTATTCCTAAGGTAACAAAAGAATGCTTGCAAACAAATCTAACTATTATTTTGACACAGATAAAAAAAGTATATAAGTTAAATTATAAAAATTCACTTTTTAAAATTGTTAAACAAACGTAGAGAAAACAAACATACAATCATCAAACCTTCCAAAAAAAAAAAAAAAAAAATTGCTTCAGGTTTCCTACAATTTTATCTTAATGGAAAGAGTCACACGAATGCACGATCGTTGTCGTTGTCATTTTATTAATTAAAGACCAGCCATAAAGTTAAGTTAACAAAGGTGAATTTACTGTTTAATTGGCGATTAGACAGCTAAAAAAAAAGTTGGTGATGATTGTGAATAGATGGAGGTTTGCTATTGGTCAATGATGAGCAAGAAAATGACATCAGTTTCTTGATTAAGGTGCATACAATCAAAATCCCATTTAGACCACTTAATTCTCTTTATATATATATAGTATTGGATGTTACTAATTAGTTTGAGGATCATATTCTTCCATATATTTTCAAAGTCAATTAAGTAGTCATTTCCGTAGGGTATGGGGCAGATCCACATCTTCATAAGAAAAATTGTGCGGGAATATAAGAATTAAGCTGTACATTTCTTTTAAACAAGCCATTTTGTTTAATAAAAGGAAAGGCATTTCAGATTTTGGAATTTCTATCGTGTCTTGGAAGGAGGTGATATTCACAAACTTTTTTGTATTTTGTACAGTGGAAATCAATGGCTAAACTTTTTCTTCTTCTTTTTTTTTTTTTAAAAAAAAAAAGGAGAAATGATGTTGGTGGAAATATATCTGATCGAGCATAAATGGATTAAAAAAAAGAAAGAAGACGGAAAAAAAAAAATAAATTTAAGGGGAGATTCTTCACGTCGTTTAAGTACTTCACATAAAGGTTTCCATCTAGATATTGTTTCTAGATGGAATTTAGCAAAATTCAATTTTTCTATTTTAATTGCGACGACTGTATCAAGTATTTGGATAAATAATTAAAATAAGAAAAGAACGTTAGATTGATGAAATTGCTTGTTATGATGTATAAACATATAGTAATAGTAATGAGAATGCTCTTTTTCATTTGTGGATTCAATTTGAAGGAAAATAGGTGAACAAATGTGTGTGAATATTTTGATATTTTGATATTTTCCACCGACTCTTTGCAAGCGGGGTTGTTGGCCGTTCTCTCCCCTCGGCGCCAGCAACTTCGTCGTCTCAGCCTTGTTCGTCCTCCCCGGAGCCACCGCGAAAACGATTGGCTAAAAAGCTGCCAAGGTACCCAATGCCACACACACACGCACACGCACACAAATGTGACCTTCTTGCTAGTGACACGTAGTTATGTCCTTTGGATGATGGTTATGGTTATCAGGTTTCGATCTGTTTTACCGCCATTTGTCTCCACTTACTGGAGAGTTTATTTTAGCTTTTTTGCTTCCTATTTTCTTTATATCCTTACAGTAGAAAAATATTTATACTATAATTTACGAAAGTAGGAATTCTTTTAATTAAAAAAGGTTTATTTAATTACAAACAAGTTAACAATTAAGAAATTTATCAACCAACTCGTTTCCAAGCCGCTAGTTGATTGACAACGCAATTCTAATCTTAGCAGCTTAGTTTATTTATTAGTTTCTTGGTGTGGCCACTTGGTTCTTTCTAAATTAGATAGATAGAGTAGCTTGTCCATCATTAAGTAAAGTAATAATAAACTTAAATTAGTTACTAATACAGTACTTAATGGCATCACTCCAAGAACATTTCAATCAGCTAAAGAAATTCCTTTTCAGAGATTAAGATTGCCCTAATTAAACATTATTAAGTGTTAATTGTTGATAGATTGCACCACAAATGATGTGTACAGTAGCACTCATTTTTGTTTATATAAAAAAAACACTCGTTTACATTCACATATTAAACTAAAAAATATAATTAACTTTCAGGGCTATCGACGTCTTAAATATTAAAAAAGATCAAATTTCAAACTATTTAAAGTAATAATGTCGCAAATTTCACTGCACTTAATTAGCAACTAACCGTTACCAATTTCAGATATTTTGGTTTGTGTTCGCATGTATATATATCGATTTCTTTAATTTGTGTTCATAGTATACCCTATAAATAAACCTTTTTAGTTTGGATAATTTTTTTTTTCTTTTGAAGATAGTTTGGCGAAATTTCGTTATTCTTAGTTTACGCTACTCAAGTAGTTTTTTTTTTTAAATGGTAGCCGTATTACGATTAAGTACTTATACTATTACATCGGATTTTAACATATGCTAAGTTGTGTACATCTCGTACTTCATTCTTACTGATTTTAATCAGGTAGCAGTTTTGAAAACTAGACTTTAACCGAAGAATGTTAGTAATTACCTCTCATGTTTCCGTAGAAAACAAAGAAATTGGTTGATCAGAGGTCAATGTTTCATAATCCTTGTAAATGTTGACCCTGTCGATTTCCATGGTTGAGGCAACCTGTAATGCAGTCAGACATGTCATGGCCTCCGCTTGAAGCGGTGTAATGACATTTAGGGAGATGGATTTGATCTGCATTAGCATTCCCGTGCGTGAAGTAATCTTCCAGGCACCTGCAACTTTCCCGGTATGCGGATTGAATGAAGCATGAAAAATGATTTATGTGCTACATTATGAGATACCAGTACTCTGTATACCTGTATGAAAAGTAGATAATTGTGAGTTTGTTTTCCTTATCAAAGTCTTGTGCTAAGAGAAGTCCTGTTATATCAATCGTCATGAATTCACAGGATCTACAAATTGATTTCTCTATACTTTATTATTTCTCTCAATTCAAATACGCCAGAAGATTAAGAAAAATAAATCCAAATCATCATAAGAAGGATGTGACTGTATCCAGTTAGAGAACCACTCAGGTATTTGATTTATTGTCCTATTGTCTTCTTTACATCATCATTATTATCATTATGTAATGTAATGTGTTTATTGTATTCTAATAATTGAATTTTATTGAAAAACCAGTAACAAAAAATGTGATAGTTACTTTCTGAATGAAAAACTCATCGATTTCGACTTTTAAGAAGGGGAAAGAGTTTGAATCTTTGAGCAAAATTTTATAACTTTTTTGGTTAACAAATTTAATAATAAACATAAAATGTTTTGAGTTATTATTTTTATTTGGCATTCAAATTGGCGTGGGGCTGGGGCCTGGCCAGTGCTTATCTTAGCCGGTAAGACCAGGCAAACAGACGAGCAAGGAAACCAGGCCGGAAATCCAAACCACCACCCTGGCTGATACCATTCATCCGGGAGCTATGCCATGTCAGCCAGCTACAGGATCAAAATCTCTATCCATCCTTAATTAAAATATCAATAATCGAGATGCATGGAAAAGTTTCACCCAACTCTCAAGCCTGTCTGGAATTCACAACTTATTGTGCATCATGTGGCCTCTTTTTCCCCTTAAACAATTCATTATAACGTTTTACATAATTTTATTGATATTATAGCTCGCTATAAAAATAAGTGAATTGATTACTCATAAAATGTGTTATGCCAAAAATAAAATGAAGTACTAGTACAAAAGAATAACAAAAGAAGTATATTGTGAAAAAATAAATAAAATACTAGTATGAAAGAATATAATAAAAAAGTATATGTAGAAAAAGTACTCTCTCAATTCCAAAATAAGTGTCGTTTTGGCAAAATGGAAAAATTCCAAAATAAATGTCGTTTTCGGATTCCAATGCATTTTTTGTAAAAATTTTCAAACATACCCTCAAAAGTAATAATATTATTAGTGAACATTTATTTTAATGAGGTTGGTTGTGGATATTTAGTAATTTAGTTACTCTATTTAATGTTTTCTTGAATTGTATGCGAACTCTAAAATGACACTTATTTGGGAACGATGTAGTACAAACAAACAATATCCATCCAGGTACAGTGACATCTCTCTATTTATGCAACAATCGGCCCAAGATGAACCAGCTCAAGTGTGTGTGTGTGTGTGGGTGTGGCGTGGGAGAGAGAGAGAGAGAGGGAGATACAAACTGCCGTTGGAGAAGGGAGTTTTAGAGAGGGAAACATAGTTGTTTTGATGTAATACCATGACTCGGGTCTTGCACAACCCGATTCCATATAATTCGCTCCGGCAGTAAATCACCACTGTCATAATTTTCCGACCAACCTTACCGGCCGGAATTCGGCTCTGCCTTCTTTCAGTCTCAGTCTTCCTTCTCACCGGGAAAAAGGGGAAAACAGAAGAGAATTCCACTTCCTAATTTTTGCTCACAGAGGGGGAAAAAAAAATCCTTCATCTTTGGTTCCTTACCTTCTTTCCTCCCTTATTCCCATATTTAATATCTGGATTCTTTTTGTTTTTCTTTGAAGAATAAATCTTTGTCTGGGTGCGATGTATTATAATTATTGGCTCTTTGGGACCTTAAATTCAAACTGAACTGACTTTCTGTTGTTGGATGTTGAAATCCTTCCTACTTCCTAGCCGAAATAATTTCTGGTTCTTCATTTGTTTTTTCAATTAACTCCTAAATTACTTGCTTATAATTTTCTTTAAAGTTACAATTTTTCCTTTTTCTTCCTGACTATATCATAAAGTGTCGAGTGTGTGTTGACACAATGACACTCTTATGGAGGGGAAAGGGGAAAGACTTTGTCTTATCTGTTCGAAAAAAACCATAAGTTCTCGTTCAACTGATGCTAAATTTTTATTTTTTTTTTGGAAACTTTTTTCTGATATCAGTTGATCTTCAGTTTCACTGTTGTACTGATAAGTTTGATTCTTGTTTTCAATTTGGTTGCGAGATCCTGCAAAAGCTTTTGCAGTAATAGTATTTATTATGGACCTTTAGTTCGACTTGATTCTTTCATTTACCAACAATTTGTTGATTCTACTCATATTTGATCGTCATTCCCATATACCCCAGAGTTTGTATTGGGAGGAAATGGCCGTATCTTTGACCAGATTTCCATGGTGCTGGTGGGGGAATAAGGAGAAAGACCCAGTTTCTAATGGGTCATCAGTTAATTCATTGCCTGATTGGGGTTTCGGGTTAAAGGACCCAGACAATTTGAAGTTTAGATCTATTACGGCTGCGAAAAAGATGGCTTCTTCTAAAGTTAAGAGGAAATGGAAGAGCAGGGAGGAAAGGAGGAGAGTTGACAAAGAGTATGATGTGGTGTTGGTGCCATCCGATGGTGTTTGTTTATCAGGTTCTGAATCCGATGACTCGGACTGGTCAATTGGGTGGCTGGAGCCACACGCCCCTGATTTCCAGAGTGATGATGATTCCGGTGATGATAGTTTTGCTGTAATTGTTCCTTGCTATAGACATCATGATTACCACCAAGACGTGGTGGATATGGAGCCTAAAAAACATTTACTTAGTGCCATTCAGAATCTTCCAAATGATTACTCCACTGGTACGCTTCTTTGTATTTTGGCTTCTTTTTGTTTCCTTCTTTTTGTACTTCTGGTTGATTCATATTGATTTCTTACCAATTTTTTTCCTGTTTGTAATGGCGTATGAACTACCTTTTTAGTCGTGTTTCATGTTGATTCATGTTGATCGGATTTCAGTTCCTTTGCCTGAATTATGAAGTTTGTCTTTCCATTTCTTTATGCTTGAGTGTAAATCTCAAATCATCAGATTATCAAATAGTTCAGTTTTGGGACAGGAGTATTTCTTTTTGAGTTGGTTGAAAAATGCGATAGAGTGTGGAACCAAAATGATTGGTGCTTTTTTCCTTTCTTTCTTTTTAAATAATTACTCTAATTGGCTATCAGTTATGGCTGGCTGGTGTTGAAGTAGGTATGTTAAGGGTGACTCCTATTTGTTTAATTAGTAAAACTCTGTTTTTGCTTCTAATCACTCATTCTGCATCCTTGTGATTTCCAGTTTATTGGTAGTTGCATCTCTGGTGTCTTTTCAATCTTAAAGATATTGTTTCTTGATTTGTTTAATGATTGGTGGTGCTTTGTGATGCAGTTGAGGACTGGTGTACAGTGTTCATTTCCTTGTTTTCTGGTCCCAAATGATTGAGTGGTTCTGTTAAGCATCTTGTGAGTTGAGTCATTCTTTGGGGCTAGAATTTAGGCTTTAGCAGATGAGGGTCCACAGATGATTCGTTTGGTGCCATTTTCTCTGAAAACTAGTTTGTCTTCTTTGTACATATTTGAAACTATCCATCATTGAGTTTTGCCTAGTCTCGTGGCAAAATTAGTGAAGCTTATTCTAAACTGTTTGGTGAATGCTGCTTTTAAAGTTTATTTTGCATTCTTGGATTAAATTTTGTACTTTATCATTGAGTAGAAGAAATGGTTTTTTCCTGGGGGAGTAAATGCTCATAGGTACTGGGGTTTTCCCTTTTCTTTTGTACTTGTAGAGGGGAAGAAGTACATGGAGCAGTGCCTTGCTATTCTCAAGGATTTTTGAAGCTGTGTTTCACAGCTGGTGAATGCTACTGTGATGATTTTTGCACGATAAAAGATCGAGTTAGTCCTCATCAGACTTCCCTTGAATCATGTTAGTTGCAATATGCAAGGAGATCTTAATGGTTTCGCTTCAATGTGCAGTGGTGGAGGTGGTCTCAGATGATTAGATCATTCTCGCTTTGTGAAACCATATGGATCAAGTTCGAACTGACTTCGTGGTGAAAAAGGATTGTAAAATCTGTTATAAGAATGTAGAAAGGTAGCTGTTTTCTTCAGATTATTAGGAGGGTTGGGTTAGTGTGTTGTGTCCTTTGGGCTATTAGGATTAGGCAATCGGCCTATTCGAAAACGTGACTATCTACTGCTATGTAAATACTGCTGCTTGTATTTGATTTGATGCTGCTCGTCAAGTGTTTCTGCAGCTGGTCTGCTGCCAATGTAAATAATTTCCCTACTCCAATCTCAGCAATTGATTGAATCTTTGGCTATTTACTTTTCGTGTAAAAAAAACAGTCGTCCATCTTCATTGTCATTCGATCATTTCATTTACCAGAAAGTTGGAACGTGGATTAAAGTCTCTTTTTCTGCTTGCTTTATTGCTTATTATGGTTGGGGAAGGAAAAATTGCTATCATTAATAGGGAAAAGTACAAGAACTTTACTAGCTTCTTTGATGATGAGTTTCATAGGAAGCAATTAAAGGGAACAAGTGGATGATGAGTTTGTGGCTTGTTTTCTGCTTTCACTTCTGGGCACGTAATTGCTTGGCCATGGTGAAGGAGGACCACCAATCCATCGGCACTTGAATGAAAATGATAAAATCTAATTCTTCCTGAACAAATTGGAGTCTTTTCTTGGGACGGAGAAAGTGTACAAGGATTTGACAGAACAATGATCTTTATACTTATGAATAATTATTTCCTAGAACCATATTCGCGTTATGTAATTATTGCCTGCTTTTTCATACTGAAAATTTACATCATTTAAAATGAAAATGCATTGCTTGTACACACAACGTTGTTGGTTCTTTGCTAGTTCCAACCCAATTTTCGGATGCGGCCGTGATGGTGAGATTTGGACAAATACAGCGTAGATTTGTATGTTGGGGGAAAAAAAAACGACGAAATTGAAAAAGAAGAGTTTTTTAATAATTCCAAAAAATTAACCCTTAAAAATGAATAAAAAAAAATCAGCCGTCAGTATATGCATGTGCTTAGTACAAAAAAACTCGTCAGAAGGAGTTGAGTGTGGCCAATCTGTAGCTATTTTCTCTATGGTTTGACAAGGGGGATTGACAAAACGTGTAATCCCATCGCGGATGCTAGTAGCCTAGTACTAACTTAGCTAAGGAATCAGCGGATTCATTTCTGATTTTTCGTATATGAGTAATTTCTTCTACCTATTATTAACGATCAGGGACGGAGTTAAGCCCCGAACACTAGGTGGGGCAAAAAATATAACGCGTATAAACTACTCTTTGTTCCACAAAAATAATCCGTATAACAAATTACACATAAAATGGAAATTAATTCTCTATTAAGAACTTTTTCCTCCAAATCAAAATTATTTTGTAGTTTTTTGTTTATGCCCTTTGTCTTTTGAATTTTTACTGGGGCAAAAATGAAGAATATTGACAATTTTTTTAAAAAATAAGGATAAATTAAGGTAATTAGGAAAAATTCAGCTGGGACAATTGCCCCATCTCGGTTCTACTTAGCTCCGCCCCCGTTAACGATCCAAAAGATTCCTAATTCTATACAAAATATTGCTGGGTGGGGAAGTTGGAGTTGTTTTCATTCAGTTGGTTAAAGTCAAAAAAAAATAAAAAATAAATAAATAAAAATTCAGTTGGTTCACATCCTGCTCGGAATCCAATTGCATTTGGATCTTTCTGAAGCCCATATCCCTCGCTATCCTGAGCCCAAAAATACCCAGCCCAAAACTGAGCTTCTAGTACTGAACAGATGCCGATTTTTTCCGCAAAGCTTCCTATCCATTTTCCTTCGTAATAACCCGCCGGCTGAAGCAATTGTCGGAGAAGCAGCCACAGCCCCATCAGTTGAGAGGTTCGGGTTGATTTGGGTCCATGTCTGGTTGATTTTTGAGCAATCTCGGAAAAGGTGGAATGTTGTTTCAGGTCTGACGCAGAAGTAGCAAGCGTCGGATTCCGAGAGGTGCCCTGGTTTCCGTTCTGTATTGGTGAGGATAGAGTTTCTTGCTAGCGACCAGAGGAGTAGCTTGACCCGTTCAGTTCCTTTCCAACTCCAAATTATTTTCCATTTCTTGTCTGTTGATTCCCAATTGTTCTCTGTTCTCAGTTTGTAGGCTGTAGAGGTGGTAAATTCGCCTGATTTTGACCACCTCCAAATGGGTTTGTCCGGTCAAGTTCTCTATCTGGGACCGCGATTGCTGAAATCCTCATACTTGTTTGTTCATCAACCCAGGGTCGAATCATGTGCCAATTCCAGTTGCCGGCACTGTCACTGTAGACCTTTAATTTTTTCTGCATCAGGTGTTCTGGGATTAGGTTTAGGGCATAGAATCTCAGGGGATGTTGTGTGTCTAGCCATTGGTCAGTCCAGAAGGAAATTCTTTCCCCGTTCCCCATCGTCCATTTGATCCCTTGAGCTGCCACTTGCCGAACTAAGGATATCTGCTTGCCTAGATGAAACAAAAGAGAAACAACATCAAACAGCAATTGGAGGGGATCCCCTCTTCCTCTGCTCCTCCTAATCAGGAATCAGACCTTCCATTGATGCCAGATTTCCCCAACGAACTCGCCTTTGAAATCCTTTCCAGACTGCCAGCCAAATCATTGGGGAAATTCAAGTGTGTTTCGCAACCATGGCGTTCTTTAATCTCAAGCCGAAGATTCATCAAAACCCATCTCGCATTAGCATCGGGAAGGGAGGATTATGGCCAGCATCGTCTTGTGATCACTGTACCTTCCACCAATCCGCATGAGCTGCATTCTGTGAGTTCTATGCTGAACAAGGCGGGTGAAGCCCCTACTGACTTCTTTGTCCTCCAAAAGTCACTTGATATGGTAGGTTCCTGTAATGGGCTTGTTTGCCTGCTGGACTTTTATCGCAGTTGGGAGGAATTGTTTCTTTGTAACCCTTGTACTAAAGAGTTTAAGAAATTGCCTAGTCTTGGATCACAAAGTGATGAGTTTAATATTGGATTTGGTTATGATTCTTTGAATGACGATTACAAAGAATTTGGGTTTGTGTCAGATCTCCACGAAATCAATTTGCACAGTCTCAAGACTGACTCTTGGCGCACCTTCAATCCCCAATTCAGTCCACGTTTTTTTGTAGAGGATGCAAGTACATATTTCCATTTTGTGAGTGGAAAGTTCTATTGGCTCGTGGTTGATGAAGTTGATGTCTATGGTGATGGTCTACCCAATGCCTGGAAAATTGGCTGCTCGATTTGGAGAAAGAAACATTTGAGATTATGGACTGCCCTCGTCACATACTGACACGAAAAGAACAACATGGACTTGGCGAGATAGGAGGTTGCTTTTGTGTGATTTACAACGATTATAAAAGAGATTGTGCTGATATATGGGTATTGAAGGATTCTTGGATTCAAGTATTTTCTTTTGCTGCTACCTGTGATGAAGATTCTCACAGTTCCCTTACCTGTTACTGGAGGATACCAACAGTTTGGGGGTTGAGGAATGGCGAAATATTGTGCCTCCTTTACTCAGGCTTGTTCCTTTACAATCCAATGACTCACACATCCAGGAGGTATCCGGAGACCGGTGAAACTGTAGGTGCATCTATGTGGGTTGAGAGCTTAGTTTCACCCTCGTATCCTTGAATTGAAACTGCTACAAAATGGTGTAAAAAGGTTAGCTTATAGAGCAGCGATTACCCTTTTCTTTTTAATTTCCATTACCAAGTGAATGTTACTTTTGGTGTTACTGTTTTAAGCATCGTTTTTGTATGATCATCTGACTCATTCCGGGTTCTTCTGCAACGTAGATTTGCTTTGCTCTTTTGATCATAACCCGTGAGCAGAGCAGGGGAAGAATCTCTCCAAAATCTGACTTGATTTTGTCACAGTATCATTCAGTTTGATTTTGTCATTATTTGGCTTGTTCTACCTGTACTGTAGTCTATTTCTGTGGTGTTGAGTCTCTTCGCTGAGAAATGAGAGAATTAGTTCTGAATAGAGATCCGAAAATTCATTTGTACAGAATGCAAGCCAATCCGAATGTAACCCCAACAAGACGTTTCGAAACTTTTTAAATTAATGAAAGTTGGTGTCGTTTCAAAAGGTAAAATCAGGGACGTCCTCCTGAATTGCTTCAATGAGGGACGTCTTCCATTGACCATTTGTTCCAACACATGCAGCAGATTGCTTTTTTTTTTATTTTTTGGTAAGCATTTGTAGTTGAATTGGAGAACAGGGGATATATATAAAAAATTTAGAACCAAAATACTTTAAGCAAATGGAAGCTTCACAACTAAATTTAATGATTAGAAGTAAACAGAGCCCAAAGAGTATCATCTCAGAGCCTTGAGGGGGGGAAGTATTTCCAACAGGTGAAGAAGGCCAAAATGTACTTCTAACTGTAGCCTAAAATGCTTCGAGTATCATATGGGAGACACAGATTCATCCACTCTGAGCTCCTGGAAAACCGACATTGTTCTTGAAACAAGATGGGAGAGACATTGTGCTGAGACTAGTTGGAAAACACTGTAGCTAGGAAGGGGCCCCTTTCTGGTGATGGACCATACAAGATCGAAATATAATGGCAGCTGTGCAAAAGCATAAAACGTTATTGGCAAGCATGTTACGGTATGAATCGGGTATGCTGCATCGATTAAGTTGATCTTTGAGAAGGAAGAAATGTCCGGCACAGAACGAGATCAGAATCGCAGGTATTGAGGTGAAGAGGGATCTTAATCCAAAAAGGATTGTAATTTCTGTTATAAGAATGTAGAAAGGTAGCAGTTTTCTTCAGATTATTAGGAGGGTTGGGTTAGTGTGTTGTGTTCTTTGGGCTATCAGGATTAGGCAATCGGCCCATTCGAAAACTTGACATCTAATGCTGTATCTACGGCTATGTGAACTGTGAAGTTGATGGAATTACTTTTACTAGGGTGGTTATAATCTTATAATCTCTTTCTTAAATACAAGCACTCAAGCACTCACCATGAATTCACAAGGCTGTTTTGGGTGAATTTTTTTTGTTTCAATTTTTTCTGAAAACATGCTTGCTTGGTCGTATACATATGTGGGCAAGTATGGGATTAGGATAATTGGAATTAGTTTTATAATTGTGAATGAATAGTTGACTAGTTGGCAGAGGCAATTAGTGGATCCATTCGCAACTTGGAAAGGCTGAGATGTATTATGTGTGAACCTTTAGGGCCCAAAACAGAAATTTGTGACTATAATTTATATAGTCAAGTTACTAGAAGCAATTGTTTTGGTTGAGGACCCGGGATCAAAAAATTGTAACACGTTGACTGTGAACATTTTGTGACCGTCGACACTATATACAATTTTTTTAAAAAAATGGTTTTGAGGGGGCAAAGATCTATTTGGTTTATTTCTTCTTTATTTACCCTTCGATCTTTAAATAAATATCAAGTTTTAGTAAAAACCAAACTGAACAATATTATAACTCTAGAATTTTCCATATAACCTAACATAGATAGAGATAGAACTATAGTAGTAGTAGTAAACTAAAAGTTATCAATTCGTTGGCAGAAGCCAGAGAATGGCTGGCTGCCCATAATTTTGGTGCGAAAGTCCCTCCCTTTCATCAATTTACTAAGCAGGGATAATTCTTTTTCCTTGATGATTCAATCCATTTTGTAAGTTTTTTTTTTCTTTTCTTTTTCCTTTTTTCTGCCCACAAACCTTTACATTTTCACCAAATTTAAGTTTCAAACTCTTTTCTCTTCCTTACCAAAATAATCAATCAAGGGAAACGGAAAAACCCAGAAAGGAGGAGAAGAAAGAAAAGGGAAATCAAAATCAATAATCCATTCTCCCTTTTACTCATTCATGGGGAGAGAGGGAGTTTCATCAAATTTTATTGTACATTAAAAAAGAAGGAAAGTTTAAAGAAACAAAAAAAGAAGAGAAAGGGGGAAATAAATATAATTAAGAAGATCAAAGGAAGATGTTGCAAAGAGCAGCAAGCAATGCATATTCATGGTGGTGGGCAAGCCACATTCGGACCAAACAGTCCAAATGGCTTGAACAAAGCCTTCAAGGTATACCCGCATCTTTTCTATTTTTTTTAAAAAAAATTTTGGGGTTTTTTTTCATGCAATCGAGTATAATGATCATAAGTGAATCCTACATTATCATTATTACTGGAGACAAAAAGGATGAAAGATCATAATTTCTCTGGATTCAAATTGGCTATTGCATACCACATACATATATATCTGAATGGATTGAAAATAAAATTTTCTCTCTGAACCTGCATTTTTATCAATAGAAAAGTTATTTCGTGAAATTGCATTTTCATGTGTATTCTCAAAGGTAAAAATCAATACAGTCATGATGGGTGGTAATCTGGTGGTTCCTTTTCAACATCTGACATGCTTCACATAATAATAGCTTGGAATGAGAAGTCCTGTTTAATCAAAAGAAACTCAATACATTTTCCCACAAAAACATGTCAGTTGATTTGTAAGCAAGCTCTTTCCATTCAGAAACAATCTTAAAATGGATTCTTGGGTTTTGCAGATATGGAAGAGAAAACACAATACATGCTGCAGCTGATTGAAGAGGATGGAGATTCCTTTGCTAAGAGGGCTGAGATGTATTACAAAAAGAGGCCGGAATTGATCAGCTTTGTCGAGGAGTCTTATCGTGCTTTCCGCGCCTTGGCCGAGCGATATGATCACCTGTCAACTGAGCTTCAGAATGCCAATAATACTATTGCAACAATATTCCCGGATCAGATTCAGTTGGATATGGATGAGGAGGATGATCTCAGTGCTCCTAAGCTTCCAAAGGGTTCGGTTAAAATGCCAATCCCAAACGCGGCGAGAGTCCCTAAGGTCCCTAAGGCTCCTATTAAGGATTGGAAGGGCCTGATCAGTGCATCAAAGAATCTCCAGGCGAAGAAATTAAAGGCAGAAGAAGCTAATAAAAGTGTCACAAAATCAGGTTTGAGCAAGTCTGAAGCTTCTGAAGAGATTGACAAGCTTCAGAAAGATATTCTAGCTTTGCAAACTGTGAAAGAATTTGTTAAAAGCTCGTACCAAAGTGGGCTTTCCAAGTATTGGGGAATAGAAAACCAAATCATGGAAATGCAGCAAAGGGTATGCAGTTTGCAGGATGAATTCAGCATAAATAAGGTCATTGAAGATGATGAGGCGCGGACTTTAATGGCCGAAGCAGCATTAAAATCATGTCAAGAGACATTGTCTCAGTTGATGGAGAAACAAGGAAAATCAAACGAAGAAGCTCAAAAAGAGTACAAAAAGATTGAAGATGCTCGTAAGAAACTGAAATCGATCAGGCGTGAGTTCTTAAACGATCAATCTGCAGCAGAAGAAGATGACGACAAGGAAAAAGAAAAACAACAATCTGCAGGAAGTTCCAACATAGAGACTCAGCAAAAGGGAAACCAAGAGAAAGTTTTGGAACAACCAAATGAGATGGGCTCATATACTGTCACGAAACTGGCAGATAGAATTGATGAGCTTGTTAACAAGGTGATTAACCTGGAAACTGCAGTGTCATCTCAAACTGTTCTAATGGACAGATTAAGAACAGAAGCTGATGATCTTCACACACAAATTCGGGTCTTGGAGGAAGACAAAGCGAATCTAATTGACGATACACAGAATTTGAACAGCAAAGTGCAGAAAATGGAGGAAAAACTGCAAGGGATCCAGGATTTGAATGACAATGTTGAGAAGCAAAATAACCACCTACAATCAAATTTTGCTCAAGCTCGATCGAGTCTAGATCACCTGTCTGAGAAGCTAAATACTGTCAAACCAGATGAAGAAATTGAGGTTCCCACTTCTGATGAAATGCATGAAAACGTCGACATTGCTGGCCAATCCAGTTCAATGAAGAAGGAAGAACCAAAGGACATCAAAGTGGAGGATAAATCCAGTGATACCAAAAATAAAGCTGGTAAAAAGACAGTGAAATTCCTGGATGAGGTGGAAAAGAAAGAACAAGATCAGGAGCAAAAGGCTGTTACTCAGAATAAAGAAGGATCAGATGAGGAACAACAGAAAGAGAATAAAGAATTTAACTGGCAACAAATGCTACTCAGCGGGGTGGAGGATAAAGAGAGAGTTTTGCTCACAGAATATACAACAATTCTCAGAAATTACAAGGATACAAAGAAGAAACTCGGCGACATGCAGAAAAAGGACAAAGATCATCAATTTGAACTGGCATTGCAAATCAGGGAGTTGAGGGGTACTATTGCGAAGAAGGATGAAGAAATTCAACGCCTGAGAAACAGGCTGACTACACTCCCGGGAAATTCTGCAGATGACAATATTGATACAAAGGAAGATGATCGAAGTTTGAAACCAGATTTCCCATCACCTGAAAGGGTAGAAGAAGAAATAAAGTTGATCCTGCTGGATCAATCTCCTAAGGCCACCTCACCGGTTGAAGAAAAGCTCAGGACAGAAATCGACAGCATCCTGGACGAGAACCTGGATTTCTGGTTAAGATTCAGCACATCATTTCATCAAGTTCAGAAGTTCAAAACCACAGTTCAAGATTTGCAGAGGGAAATTTCCAGGCTGAGGGAAAAAAAGAATCAAGAGGACAGCACCGGAGACCTGAAATCCGAAGTTCGGGCGACATACAAACACCTGAAAGAAATCCACACGGAATTAGCAGTGTGGATGGAACAAAGTGTTGTTCTCAAAGATGAACTGGAAAGAAGGTTTACCTCTTTGTGTGACATCCAGGAGCGGATCACCACTGCTTTAAATGAAGGCATGCAAGAAGAGGAAATACGATTTTCCAGCCATCAAGCAGCAAAATTCCAAGGTGAAATCCTGAACATGAAGCAAGAAAACAACAGGGTCAGTGAAGAACTGCAAGCCGGGGTTGATCATGTTACTACATTGCAAGGAGAAATAGAAAAGACACTGAAAATGTTGGATGAGGAATTTGAGCTTTCTCCAGGGAAACAACCACAGATGAGACACACAATGAGTCGATCTCGAGTCCCTTTGAGATCGTTCATATTTGGAACTAAACTAAAGAAGCAGAAGCATTCAATATTTTCATTTAACAGGAAATACCAGGCCCTCAGAGCTGGGCTCATGTAGAGTCTTGTTCATCATTCTTTGGCTCTGTAACCTTTATCCTTTCTCGCGTGCAATAATGTTAGATTATGACAACTTTTTTATTCTTCTTTGTTAGCAGACACTACCATATACAGTCATTTGTTGGCTTTGTTAGCAGACACTACCATATACAGTCATTTGTTGGCTTCTTGTTAAGTCCAGTAAGTTTGAGCCCTATAACGAAGGCCAATTACATCGTTTCAATAGGTTGCTTAATTAATAGTGGTTATGCTAACTTGCCATGGTAAATCAAGGCATATTGAGTATTTCACCGGAACATTAAAATTCAACCAATGTTATCACAACTGAGCTGTTTTAAATTTGATCAAGCAACCTTTCAAGTAAAACTTGAAATTTTCCTCTAATTACACTCATCAGCGAGCGTGATCCAAATAGCAATAAAATGGGTGATGCAGCAAAGATTCTAACCATTACAGAGGTGCTTATTGGAATATACATCATCCAAAATACAAGGCTACGCACATAAGTTCTGCTATTCATTAGCAGTATATGTTGTCTTCCGCAAAAGCACAGCTATAACAACAAAGATAAGACACTGTACATATCATAGCAGTTAGCATCCAACTCAAATACAGTTCACATCTTCCCCGGTGCATCAAAAGAAACTTCATTCACCACCTTGGCCCCCCGTCCTTTAGCTGTGTAAAGGCCAACATGATGCATTAGCTCCTGCCATTACAAAAACTCCATAAGCAGTCGATCAAGAGAAAATGCATTTCTAAACGTGAGACAGATATTATAAAGGTTCAACAAAGCCAAGCAGTTTACTCTCCCTCTCCTTCTCCTTGGGGCAAAGCAAGAGTGTCAGCAACATAACGAATCCCTGTGTCACCATTCTCTTCTTTGGCTGCTATATTTATGTGATGCCTAAAGATCTATATGATCTGAGAATTTATAGAGTGATCTCTCAGGTACATAAATTGTTTTCCCTTATTCCCTAACATCAATTCCAGATTTCAGCCTTCGACTCTATTCTTAAATAGTTTTGTTTCAAAATCCATACTGAGACAAGTGCATCTCGTATAGCATCACATTATCATCTCCAAATCCGAGTATGAAAATTGAGCTCCAGGGAACAAGAACTGCAGCAAGAAGCCAAAGGTCAATGTAAGAAAGTGGATTACCTGAGGATGAGCTAGAGCACCTTTTATGTTCTGAGCCACATGGAGAGGAAAGTCAAAAGTAGCACATGCAGCGGAATAAACATACACATCCTTCAAAGGGGTAAGAATTCCTCGGTTTCTTGCAGAAAGTGCCGAGCAAACAAAATCTAGCACGCATATGTCTGTGCATATCCCGGCAAACAAAACCTTGACACAAGAAAGAGCCAAAAAGCATTTCTAGTTAGTTAGTACTGAAAACAAAAATCATTTAGGACTTAAAACAACTTCCAGGTGCAGCCACTAATTATAAGACAATGGGATGGTCAGAAAATTGGAGCAAATTACTTACAGCTTGGATACTATTGTTTTTTATCCAATCGACAAAGACATTTGAACCATCTTTCTCCATTGAACCAACAAAACCATCAATGCAATCTTTGTGCCTTATTGTCACGTTAGGTTCATTTTCTAACCATTGTAGAGCTTCAGATTATACAAGAACAACAGTCAGATAAAAGAAGTGATAAATCAACCATGAGTCGTTCAAAATTCACCAAGGCATGTGGAATACCAGGGACTAATTTGGATTCATCAGTTCCAGCAATACAATGAGGAGGATAAGGATGCTCAGGGACATCCGGATGGTGAGAGTCAAGTACAGCATATATGGGCCAATTTTTTTCGCAAAACATTTTAGCAAGCCTTACCGACTCATCAACCATTCCAGATATTTGTTTATCTGGTGCTACTGGAGCCTGGAAGAGAAAAAGTTGATATTAGGTACTCCAACTACACAATCAGCAAATGCTAGAGACCAAACAAGACAGTATAACACGCTGTACCGTTTATTAAAAAAGAAGCATTCAACAAACTGAAATCAAAAGAAGATATGAATCTTTCAATCAATAAGATAGTTCTCTACATATGCCTGAGAAGAGAATGAAACATAACTCTCATGAAGTCTAGAAAACTCTATAAAAAATTTTTATATTTGCTTCTCATGAAGTCTAGTAAACAGCACCATGTTTAGTTAAAACTGAGAAAGATCACAAATATCACCACCAGGGCGATAAAGTTGCTGGATTGACCAAAAGCCAGGATAAAGCAGACACGTTTCCAATTTTGTCATCTTATATTAGAAGAAAGCAGACAAAGTATGTGATGACAAAGAAGCTCCAAAGTAGATTCTGTAACATTTTTAACATAATTTCCCCAGACAACACCCAAGTGATTCACAGAGTTGAGGAGAAGTAAATCTAAATGATGTTGATAACTCCAAGTGACAACACCCAGTATTTGATTTTCCAACATGACTTTTCACTAATCGTAAGTATTCTCAGATCCCACCATGATTCAAAGCGAAATAAATCACCCGGTTCGTTTTTCACCAAGAACCCATCAAATCCAACTAGATAATCACCAAAATCCGTGGTTGACTTCATAAAGCATATAAAATAACTCATGACGATTTAACACACAGATAATCAGGCTAGAAATCCCTCCCTCTAATGGAATCATTTAAGACAAACATCAAGATCCCATAAAAATCATCCAACCACCATGCACGTACATGTCCATAAATTTTAAAAGCAAGACGGAAGAAAGAGAAGAAAAAATAGAGTACCAAATTTCCAGCGCCGACAGTGCAGAAGCCATTAACAATGTCAACAAGAACAAGACCGGTCTTAACGTCATCAGAAATCAACAGGGACTCCTGCTCCACTGGTATCTCCTTCTTCAATAGATCAACAGTTGAGGACACCATTTTTTTAATCCTCCCCACACTTTCAAACGGCCCCTTTTTTTGCGTACAATGAATTTGGAAACAAAATCAGAAGGAATCGGTGCAGCTTTGAACTTTGTTTCGTTTCTTCTACATTTACAAAACGTGATATACAGAAAAGAAACAGGGAACGGTCAAAGGGGAAAGTTTTGTCGCGATGCGGTGGAAAAACTATATAGCAGTACTATAGTGTGAGCCTATAAAGTAGCGTCCCTGTTGAATCTTTGAATGGGATTTCAGTGGCTTTGATTGGATTTTGGAAATTTTTAAGTACAATCCATAAGTAATAGTAATAATGAAATTCGGCTATTTGTAAACTCTGTCATTTATCAATTATCAATGAGTCACAGAGCCACTACGACCACCACCAGTAATCTTTGTAGACGAAAAGTGGACTTTTCAAAGATAAGGCCTGTTTGGCTGGAAGCCTGTGTAACTAAGAACAATTTGCTGCACGCCACCAAAATGTCGTGGTCAATACTGCCCCCCCAACTTTGTTTTAACTTTTTGAACTTTTTAACTCAAAGACCGGGACTATATTGCTTTTTTTAAAAAAAAAAATTACCAAAAGTTTGAATACAAAACATCCCTTAAGCTGGGGATGAGGAATTCCTATCTAATTCTAGTTTATCGACAATATTGGACGGGATATTGATAAAACATGTAATCCCGTCGGACAAGAGAAACCAAAGTTGCAAATGAGGCTAAGATTCACCACGCAATCGTTGTCCATCAATACCTCAAATGTCTAAATACATTGCTTTGAAGGTATGGATTTTTCCCTGTATTTGAGGGAATTGATCGCTTCTGCCGAGTCGAGTTCCAAAATGATTTTTCTGAATCCAAGATATTGAGGTATTTATTTGTTAGTCTGGATCATACCGGCCCATTGTATTGATTTATTTGTTAGTCTGGATCATGCCGGCCCATTCTTAGTAGCCGCGATCCATTGGCCCAAGTGCCATTCCTATCTGGTTGGACAGGAAGTGCCTTTTACGAGTAAGCAGTAATTTCACGACTGGATAGAGCATTCCGATATTCCCCCAAAATAAATTTTTGATCTTGGAGATGATGTTTGGTACGGATGAACTCCTATATTTTTTTTGATAATGTTCATGGATAATTCTGTATTCTGTAAATTACGTCCATTTCATTTCGTGGAGAAGTTGAACCACGATAATGTCGTATTTACTCATATCATCGATTCGTTTAAGAGAAATGTAACTAATGCATGTATCCAAGATGGAAGAAGAAGTAAGCATCCCAAAAAAATATACTCCTTCCGTTCCATAATTATTATCCAATTTTACTAAAATGAAAAATTTTATTTTTGGTCAAACTTAACTATATTTTATCTTAAACAACCGGATATACCCCTACATAAGTAATTGTTTAACCACTAAGATTTTATGGATAATGTTTTTTACTAAGGACAAATGTGTAACTTGATCCATAAAAAGTCAAATTGGACAATAATTTTGGGATAAAATTTTTTAGGCAAAGTGGACAATAATTATGGGACGGAAGGAGTAGTATATTGAGTTTTATACTGTTTTTAATAATTCATAACTTAGTAATGTAGACTCTTTTTTTAGAACGAATGGAGTTATAAATGGAGCAAGTCACCGGCAGCAAATAAATACCGGAAGCAAAATGAAAATGAAGTAAAGTAATGTTTGAAATTGCAACTAGGAACCAAATTGGGCAAACACCCCGGATAACACCAACCACCACTATAGTTTCTTTTTCCCTTTCAAAAGTTAAAATCCTCCGCGTGCAACAAGAACAAAGTCAAACACCAGCTTCTACTGCTGGTATTGTGTTCTTGCCAATATCTGGCAGTAATACTTACAAATCCTGACAGTTGTAACTTAGTGCAACTTGAACACTGACAACCAGAGTGATCTATAGGACATTCAACCGCTCCGACAGTAGTATATTAAGATGAGGTGTCTATTTACCTTTCTTGCCATCTTCAGGAAGCTGCAAACCCATCAGCCCCAGTAAATTGGATGCTGGCCCAGGAAGCCCTTGCTGAGAAGAAAAGGATTCAAGCAGATTCTTCACCAGGTTGAAATCCACATCCACAGGCTTGAACTCTTCCTGCATATCTTCACTGGCCTTTGATGTGCCCTGAATTTGGAATTACTCATAAGCGGAGGGCTTGTAGAAATAATAAACGTATTTGGAAACTCAGATATGCTGAACTTATCTTTTGGTTGCATACAGCATCATGTAACAGGCTCAAGTTAAGATAATTTAGCAAGAGATGGTTGCTAGCGCACATTTCGAAAGGAAATAAAATAACAAACCTCGTCTTTCTTCAATGGTCCCTCATCTGGGCGTACAAAACTTTGGCCAAGGGTAGTGGCTTTAAGTTCCTTGTTAAGTACATCAGAGTAGGACTCCATAAAAGTGCCACCTCTCTCTTCGTTATCCTCGGCAGGCTCAGACATATTGCTGTCATCGTCAGAATCGTCTGCACGCAACAAATGTGGATGTAACCAATCATGTAACCTTATAAACACGTAACTTCAAGAGCTAGTCTAGTGTAGAGCTTTAACTACAATTGTAAGACTTAGACCCTAAAGGTGGAACCAGATACAACATCATTATGCAGGGGGGGAAATGATTAGAAAGACATGAGTCCGAAAATTACCAAAATCCATGTCATCTGATGACCCTTCTTGAAGATCAGAATCATTAGCCCTGCCTTCAAAACCAGGATGTCTCATAACTGACTGTAAGTCTTTCATGAAGGAATCCACGTCGAAGTCAACGTCTTTCATCCCTCTGGGAAACAAAGGCAGATTTAACAAAGGATGAAGATATTAAAGCTGGAAAAAGAGACTAAGAAAACCAATGGATGAACTAGCACTGAAGATTATCGCTTCTAGACAGCAAATTATGCAAAGAATAAACCATCAATTAATAGCACAAACTAATTCAAGAAGAAATCACTGCAAATATTTTCAGTGAAACCATAAAGATCCAAATTCATATCATAACATTAAAGTGAAGATGACTAAAGTGGGTAATTAATTTTTTTAAAAGAAAAATAATAAAAAAAAAGAGGAAAAACTAGATCTAATATGATGCTGATCATATACCAGACCCATATCAGTCATGCATCTAGCAAAAGTAAAGTGGATGTAATAGCAGCCAAAGCTGACTCTTCTCAATGATACAGGATCATTACCAAGTAGTTTCACCAATCTAAACTGACTCCCTTTGATCTTCAAAATGCCAGTTAAAACACGAAAGTATGCAAAATGCTAGTGAAGCCTAACATATGCTGCAAACAGAGAGCATGTCATAATCAAAATACTGTAAAGACTAGCACACATATTGAATCATCAAATTTCACATATAGAGAAAGGAGTGCCATTCACGTGAATAAGCAAGGAAAGCTTTAGCTATTTGCAATTGCACAGAGAAGTAGACAGAATACAAACCTCTTTCCAGGAACCTCTGCACCTTCATAGCTGGACATCTTTTGGACAAATTCTTGCATAGAATTTGCTATTTCCCCCAGGTCATAATCGGATGGACCTGCATCAACTTCCTCTTTCGCCTTCTGTTTCAATTTTCTTTTGGAATCAAATGATTCCATCTCCTTTTGACGTTCTTCAAGTGCAGCATCAAGCTCCTTTTCCCCATAGTAAAGCCACGAGTCATCATCTGATGGAGGTAGCTCCCCACCTTTGAAGTCATCCAACGAATGGGGCAGAGAAAGAATCTCATCAATCCGCCTAACTGGAGCATTTATCATTTCACTGCAGCCACATAAATGTGATAAGCAACTAAGTAATACTATACAAAAGCACCAAAGTAGTGTAAACACACAAGGTAGCGCAAGTACAATGATGATAATAGCAGCAGATAAAAAACAAAAATACAGTTAAATTAAGGCATTCAGAATAAAGAATAAAATTTATCGAGAAAGAAAGCTTACCTTGCTCTATGATGTGAAATGCTATTCTTGTAATACTCCTCAGCTTTCTCCATTCTCCTCTTGTATTCCGCAGACCCTGGCAACAACCCATCAAAATACCCACATTTCTCCAAATTCTCCCTAAAAACATCCCAATTACTCCCTTTTCCTTCTTCTCCTTGCCTTTTCCTCATCTGATACATCATCTCAAACCCACAAGCAATCTTCATTCCAAGCTCAGCCTCCTTATACCCTTCCAAATCACTACTTAACGGCATTGCTGGGTACCGCTTAGGCGGCCTAAACGTTTGCTGCATCAACTGAGCATACATTGTCCTAGACATTTTCACAAACACCTGCACAAGTTCTTCCTCCTTCCCATTGGGCAGAAACACCTCCATTCTATCCGCAAATTTCATACTATCCACATCCCTGTCATAAAATCCTTCAACCGCAAGGGAAATCAAACAAGGTTCATTCTTTAAAACCCACGCTACCCTTACCGGAACCCTAACCCTAACCTTATGCATATTTCGTTCAGCTTTTTCGGGATATTCATTGAATTTTTGCTCCAGATGAGCCTGGACCGAATCCGGGGTAGCTCGGATGACATCGGGGTTGTTATCATTCTCGGATAAGAATTTTAGCGCGGCAGTAAGCGAAGGAGTGCCGGGCAAATGGGTTGGCGGGAGGATATAAAGGCGACCGCGACGAAGAAAAACCCGATTAGTAGAGGTGTCTGGGTTGACCCAACCCGGAAGATGGAAAGCGGTTTCAATTAAGAGAAATTGGCCGTCGGAATCGTGGATTGCAATCGAGAGGTTGGGGAAACGTTGGGAAACCGTGAAGAGGAGGAAAGCAACGAACCACTCGTCTTCGAGGTTATCGCCGAAGCGAAGATGACCGGCGAGATGGGGAATTGGGGAAGGAGCGACGGAAATTGTGAAGGGTTCGTGTTGGAAGATGTATGGGTCGGTGTAGAGAGTTATTGTTTGGAGGATTTGGAGGTGGAGGTTGTGGAGTAGGTCGGCGGTGGTGCTACCGGTGCCGGAGGTTAAGGAGAAGTCTGGAAAGATTGAATAGAAGACAGTGTCATCCGGTAAGTGGTATTTTTGTGAGAATATGGATGCCAAGTCGGAGTTATGGTCGGACATGGCTGCCGGACGGCGAGGCAGGCAGTGGACTGTTTTGCGAGTAGTACTTGCGTTCGCGCGCTTTCTCGTTTGTGTTACTGGAGAGTTCGTGAATGATTAGGAACCGCGGAGCCCCTTCTAAAATTTTTCAAAACTTTTCAATTATTTTTTTTTTCCTTGAAGAAAAAATTTCTTATAACCTAACTAAGAAAAATCACTCCCAATCCTTTTTTTTTTTTTTTTTTTTGTATTTTCTCTTCTTTCTTTTTGGTAATAAAGAAAAGCAGCACAAAATATCCCAATTATCGAACTCATTACGGTGCCGCAGTGCTCCACTTTGCTGTTGTTGATTTGACAAAGAAGAAAAAGAGGCTGTTTATATAAATGTGGACATGAATCTGTACTCTCTTCCAAAATTTTAGTCGTCAGTAGTATTCAAAAGCTGGTCTTACTATATTTGTTTACAAACAAAAAAACATTTTCCGATAGCTTTCCTGACCAAACATAAATCATTCGTATAATCCGGCCTTCAACTTTGCAAATTGATCACACCACATGCTACTACTGCTAACAATATGATCCAGAAAAATCATCCACCATTTCAAATCACCTGTCTTCCCATCCTTAATTTTTGCTTGAGTCCATGGATGCCGAGACCTAGTACCTCGAATCATGCGAGAAGGATAACGCTGTTACAAGGCGAAGATGTGCTTTCTTCACCAGAGTGTTCACCTTCAAGCTATTCGAACTTATAACTCGAACGTTCGCATGGATTGTTCCTATTGCTCAGAGGTTTCCATCAGGGGAAACATCAAAAAGAACAAACAGCATGATCATCTCAGACAACAACGCGATTTGAACTGATCTTCTTCCATCAAGTAGTAGTCGTGCTCCACTTCGTAACATAATAACCCTGACTTTGCATGGCAAATTCGCAATGATGTGCAGGCTGGACCCAGAAAATTTAATTTGCAAAAGCAAAACTTCTCTTCATTTCCTTTCGGCAACGAAGCTACAACTACTTTAGCTGGTCAAATCCCAGACCCTAGCATGGCCACTTCCGACAGAGACGAGACATTTCACATCCAGGCTGAAATGCAAATCCTTCGCAGAAGTATGCTCATTATCTTGAATTCTTCATTCAGTACAATTTCCACGCTTGGCCAATTGAAAGCCTCAACTTACCATCCTATTCCTCACCACCGGTTGCGAGTAATGAACCTTCACTGTTAAATGCTAAAGCCAATCGTAAGAGAATGACTAAACACATGTGATTACGTGAACTATGTTGCTTTTTCTCCTGTGAGTAGTAAGCTGGCTGCTTTGGGTTAGCGATATCAATGTACTAGTATTCTACTGTTCTTTTGTATAGTACTGATGGAGCCGCTTATGTAAGCAACAAAATACCTACTTTTTGTTTAGTGATGGAGTAGTGTGCTTGTAGCGTGTTAGCTTGGTACTATTGGATGTGAACTAAAATATCAATGTATCAACTGTACAATTTGAGACAGTAATTAACACTTTCAAGATTGAAATAAATTTGATGAAAATCACTGTTTTGAAATTATTTGAGACAACGAATTCATATCCAAAAGAGTGTCCATAAAAGTATTGAGACGGAAAATTGTTGTCTTTTTTTTTTTTCTCTTGAGACGGAAAATAACTGTCTTAAATAGTTTTGAGACGATTTGGAAACTATGTCAAAGTTGTCTTAAAGGGGCGTCAGAGAAGTTTTTTTTTTCATTTTTTCTTTTTGCGCAGTGAATTTTTGCACAGGAATCGGTGATGAGTTGGTCTCAGAAATTTTGACTCGACTCAACAGCTTTAAGGAGGAAGATGGCAAAGTTTGGGCGCAAAATCAAAATCGGTAATGGTACTATCAAACCACTTGATTTTTTTATGTTTTTGTTAGACTTCTGGCTAAATGAGTGATGCGATGCAAGTCCTGGCGGTCCTGCATTTGCCAAAGCTTTCCGCAGTCATCTGGAACAACGTCGCCTTGTTCTGGATACTAGCAGAAGACTTTGGATGGTGGATGATGTTTGTTGACATGGGGAACCACCTTCATACTGGGATTTTATTGATGAACTATACTAATCTGGAACAACATTGCCTTGTTTATTCTTATAATTACTGTTTTTTAGTTCGAGAATATCTCACCATGTGCTGAGTATAGAAGTCCATTTTCATATAACTACCACTAAGATATCGTGTTTTGGCCATGATTTTAGTCTCTTTATCTACCATTAGTTGTTGTAGTGTTGTACTACACGCTAGTTTGATGCAAAAATATGATTGCAGAATAACTCGTCCAAAATTGATGGATGATCGCCTAGATCAAATTAACTAATAAGCATTTATTTTGTGTCTTCAAAGTTGGAACGTTCATCGTAGAATGTTTAAGCTGGGTATTCTTATTTTAGAAACATTTTTATTCCAATGATGGCTTAAAGTCTCGATACTAGATTGTTAATCTCTTTAGCTCTTCGTTCAGAAATGATTAGATAGTAAAAGAGATTTCCCACAAAAGAATCAAATGGAATGAAGCGGAAAAAAAGATTGGTAAAAATAAAAGGAAAAACATAGGCCATTTTATATTCTCTCCTGTCCTTATTATAAGTTATTTTGACTTTTATGCATTAGTTTGAGGATTATTGTCGTCCAAAAGATTAACTCGACTACAGAAGTCATGCCTTTGGATGAAATTGACGATCAGAGCAAACGTTTAGACTAAATCAACGACCAGAGCAAATGTTTGGACTAAATTTACATTTTTTCCAACCTTTAAACCCCATAAAAAAAACTTCAACAACCAAAAAGGAGTGGATTTACCCAAACTGAAAAAAAAAAAATCTAACAGTAAACCAAAAAAAAAAACCCTTTTTCCCCAAGATCATAAAATATAATCCCAATATCATATAATATAATCCCATGAAAATCATATAATGTACAAAATCCTTATGCATCAATATCTGTTCTTGACTAATTTTTACATCAAGAACCAATCAGAGGGGAAAAAGTAGAGCTTCGATTATTGCAGAATTCAAGAACAACCGCTATAACGTTTTTTAAAATCAAGAACCATAATCAGTGTCATAATCAAGAACTATTTTTAAGAATCCATCGTAATTAGAGGAGAAGTAAGAAAAGAGAATACCCAAATGCTGAAGACATCCACCGCCATTTCTTTCCCCAAAAGTTTCAAACTTGTAAGCACTGACCTGGATGCTTCAACGGGATTACTTGAAAATTTGAAAAGGGAGTATTCCTCTAAATTGGTTTAAATTCTACCCCAAAGGAGGAGGAGGAGGAGGAGGAGGAGGAGGAGGAGGAGGAGGAGTTCTTGAATTTTTTCGGTTCTACCTTAACGGGATACCTCGGCTTGATCGAGTCATTCCTCAATTGTTTTTTCATCACGCCTAATTCTTTCCTTAATCAACCATTCTAGATGTTTATCCATAATCAAGGCAGGGAAAGAACAAAAAGAAGGAAAAATAATCTGAATTTAGGTAGGTTCTGCAGGAAGGAAAAACAAAGAGGTTTGCAAAACTTGAAAAAAGTGAGAGGAAGAAGGAATGAGTTTTCGAGTATGTTGTTTTATTTAGGAGGGAACATGTCAATTTGACTTACGGGGCTAAAAAGGTAACAAGAAGTTTTATTTTCAGAAGTTCTGTTTTAACACGTGTCGACTACTTGACTTTGTTAACCAATATCCAGTTTGTAGTTTTTTTTTTGTTCCCAAATTCCTACTTTCAGATTCGCTCTCATTTGTGTCTCTTTGATCTATTAAACATGATTCTCTATTCTGCTCAAAACTGCCAATTATTCGTGTAACTTTAGAAATTGCTTGTTAACAGGTGTAACCTCAGAGAAGAACACGATAGTTGGGGTCCATCGTGAGGATCTGGACCTTTTATTTTGTGCTTTCAAGGTATTTGTAATTACAAAAATTAAAATGAAGCACTTTCTGACCGTGGTTTTGAGCCTGTTATCTAGCATTCTCAATGGCGATTTTATATTTTCTTTTAACAGCATGTAACACATATGCTTTGTATGTATTGGATGCTTTGCTAGGCTTCAAAGTCGCAATTAGTTTCGATTGGTTTGCTATATATGTCCATTCCTCGACCTATGATAATTGTTCTATTTGTACTTGAGGTTTAAGATGTACCCTTAGTGTGATATATGGTATCGAATATCAATTAGGTTTTGATTCTTGCTAAGGTTTTCACTTTTCGTTGTGAATTTTAGGGGTGTCAATATGGGTTGGGTCCAGGTCCACGGGTTGGATTAGACCCAACCTGTCTATTTTTTATCCCAACTCGAACCCAACCCATATATTAGACAGGTCAGGTTCCTAAATCCGGACCCAACCATTTATTTTGCGGGTTATTCGGGTTGGACCCGTTTAACCCGAATAATTTATTTTCTTTTTTGCTGGTACCTAATTTTTTTTTCTTAGTAAAAATTATGAATTTTTTAATAAAAATCTATTTTTTATCCACATTTCAAAGTGTAAACCAAAGAAACACAACTAATTTTAGACAATTTCCATAACCGAGTTACCAAATTCATAAAATATAGGGTAAAATATTTATGAAATTACCAATATGCCTATAGAAATATATGAAAATTACTACATAACCTATTTAAACGGGTTACCCGGGTAACCCGACAGGTAAACCCGAACCCGACCTAATTATAAACAGGTGGGGTTGGACCCAACCTGTTTATTATTTGGGTCGAAAATCCCAACCTAAACTCGCTAACTTCGGGTTGGGTCACGGTTCCAAACCTAAATTGACACCCTTAGTGAATTTGCATGGCATAATTTCATCTAAATCTATGGTATCGCACATTTAATTTTATCTGAATTTGTGAATTCCGTGGATTACAGTTGCTGGCTCATCTGTTAAAAGGTCAATGTGGATTAGTGTTGTCAATGAAATGAGTCAAGTCCAAATAGTTAGGTGCTCGAGTTCGAGTTCGACAAAAAATTTGGAGCTCGTATTCCAGTTCGAACTCGGCCAAACATCTAAATTGGAATTTGAATTTAGCTCGAAATAAAAACAAATAGTTCGGGCTCTGCTCGATTGGCTCGAGTTTTTGTGTTCGATGAAAATTGAGCTCAAATGGTTGATAATATTGAGCTCGAATAAATTTTAATATTTATCATTTTTAATTCAAAGGTTAATCGAAAACTATTAATGCTTGTCTGCTACTTCAAATAATCGAAAACTATTACGAAAGATTTGGATTACCTATGCTAAAGATTTGGATTACAACTCCCAAAAAATTTTCTGGATTATTTTTGTTTACTATGGCCAGAGGTCCGTAGCCCATAAAACATTGGGCTTGAGATAATCCAATTTGATGATGACACAATACTCAATCTGGCCCAAATCCACGCCGAAGAACAATAAAAAAAATCAATCAAAACAACCAAAATTGTTATAAACCCATAAACCCTAGAATCCCATCTTGTTTCTGCCCTTGGCCGCTCTCGATCTTCTGCCTCCCCAGTCAATCAAATCCAACGCCGCCGCCACCACCACCACCACCACCACCATGGAGGTGGATGTTCCTACCGCCGCTAATTCCATGGAGGTAGACGCCGCAGCACCTGCCAAACCCAACTTTAGGCCGTTAACGGCGCATGAGATGTCCTCCGGCGAAGTCCAATTCCGGAAAATTTCTGTCCCACCTCACCGGTACACGCCGTTGAAGAAAGCATGGATGGATATCTACACGCCGGTGTACGATCAGATGAAAATCGACATCCGTATGAACCTCAAAGGCCGCAAAGTCGAGCTCAAAACTCGCCGCGACACTCCTGAAGTGAGCAACCTCCAGAGATGCGCCGACTTTGTCCACGCTTTTATGCTGGGGTTCGATGTCTGCGACGCTGTGGCTTTGCTCCGGTTGGATGAGCTTTATATCGAATCATTCGAAATCAAGGACGTGAAGACTTTGAGAGGGGAGCATTTGTCTCGGGCTATTGGGAGATTATCTGGTAAAGGGGGTAAAACGAAGTTTGCTATTGAGAACTCAACGAAAACCAGGATTGTTATTGCCGATACAAAGATTCATATTTTGGGTTCGTTTGCAAATATTAAGATTGCGCGGGATTCATTATGTAGTCTGATTTTGGGTTCCCCTGCTGGCAAGGTCTATTCCAAACTTAGAGCTGTGAGTGCCCGGTTGGCCGAGAGGTTTTGAAATTTATAGCTTTCTGTTCTCTTTGTAACATGAGTTTTAAAAAAAGAATGAATTTCGGTATTCAATATTGTGCTCTGTTGTGTTAATGTTATCTCATATTGAGAGGAGTTGATGTGGAACCTTGTGTCACAATTGTATTCGGAGCTCATGTTGAAAATTTTGATAAGGTTTCATGGTTGTTTTGGTTTTGTAGCTTGTATTGGTGCTTGATAAATGTTTGTTCCTGGAAAATTGTCTGCGCGGTAATTCTTACCTTGATAGGGTGATAGGGTTCTATATGGTTACAGAATACAGCCATAGAAGGAGTAGAACTTATCGAACTGTTGGAAGGGGTATTGTATAATTGTTTTGTAGAAGGATGGCAATTTCGCTGTGTGAGTGTCAATATTGCTCTCCTTCATGAGATGAAGTTAACACCATTGTTGGAGTTCAGTTATCATTTTGGGTCATATGTTTATGTTATATTGTTATTGAATGGTGTATGCCTGTATGGATTTGAAAAGCAAAAGTGGTATTTATATTTAGGATTCAGTTTTGCTTTAGCTAAAGACCTGTTGTCTGTGCACACCAAAGTTCTACATGTTTGTGTTTAGAGATCACATTGATGTATCACGATTTGTCTTCTGTTGTTTTCTGGTGCCCGCAAATTTGGTTTACACAACAGGAAAACAGAAGAATATTGAGTAGTTGGTACTGATGCATATGATATTGAATTTTTTGATGTCAAATGTTCTTTCCGCTCTATCTGATCTCATTAGCTTACCCCTGAGGATTCATTGTTACATTGCCATTTATAGAAATGCCTCCTCGTAGATTTGAGAGAAAAAAAAGAGATATGAATTGTGTTAAGGTCAACATTTTCATCTCATTTATTTGTTGGAATACTGTGACTTAAGAGTTCGTGGTGGAGTTGATTTTCTTCTTTCATCATGGTTCCTCATCAGGCTTTAGTGTTCCACTTCGAGGACTTGCTTTTTTGCAAAGAGTGGATTTGTTAGCTCAATTTTCTTGTGATCTTTGAAGATGATGTCTGCTTGTGGTTTCTTTTATCCACATGTCACTTTGGATATTATTTTATCAGTCAGATTTTGTTTGTGACGAACTAGAATTGGAACCTGAGATCAGGGGATCAGGTGGAAGGAACTAAACCGTTGATCCTTTGGGGGATTACTTTAACCAACTCCGAAAAAATGTCATTGTTTCATCAGTCTGAAATCTGTTAAATCTGTGAATCTCGTCTGGTTGGTGCCCCACCTTGAATTTTATCACCAAATCCATTCCCAAAGTAAAAATAGCATGAGGGCTTGCGTAATCCTGATCTATTCTCCCATTGGGCTTCTAATCGATGCAAACAGAGCAAAACTGAGTTCGAATACACCACCATGACTTCTGATGATGAAACCATTGAGCTTTAGCTTGTAAGTCAATGCGAAGTTAATCTTTAAAATGAAGGGCTTATGATGATGATCTGCTCATCTTACTAGAGATACAAATTCAATAGCCAAAAAAAAAAAAGAAAAAGGTTTCATAGACGTGCATTGTTATGTTCTACCTTACAAGAATATTGCCCTTATAATAAGAGAGTATCCGCATATGCACATTAAAAGTTACTTTCAGCACATGGATAGTCTTTCGATCATTTATAAAAATCCAAATTAAAATTGAAAATATAATGTAAGTTTGGACCATACAAATAGGAGGGGATCATCACTCGGAAAACTAAGTGCAAATAAAGGATCAGAAGCCTGAACATAGTTTTTATTATCTTTTTTGCCCCAAAAACAGGTTAGGTTAGATTAATGTTGGAGGAGAATACGATTTGTTCAGCACCAAAACCAATTAGTTCTAATTAAACTGAAAAAGGGACCCTCGTAAAGAGTCAAAATGTTGCTGATAAGCAGTTGATCAGTCAAGAACCAGCCTAAAAATTGACCTCTTTGCAAATCCCCTTTAAAAAAAATTACCTATATAATATTATACTTTGTAGTGTGTAGTGACGTTTGACTTAAAATGCCTTGGCGAAACCGAAGCACTCACACAAAAATTTCGGTTAAAAGCACTTTCTGCAAGGGATTGACGACATTGGGTTTGTATTTGAGGTTTTGGTGAGGTTGTATGTGGTTTGGGCCTTTTGGCTGCATGCACGTGTTTTTCGAGTGATGACATACAATATATTGATTATATTATACCGTATGACACACCTGGTGTCCGAAATTATTATTTCCACATATAATGTATATATTATAAAATGTATAAGAATAAGATCCTAGTTTTTTTTTGGATATTAAAATGGGGATAAATATATATCTAAGTATCCTCATTGATGGTAGGTTTAGTTCACCCACTAAACGATGAAATCTCCATTCCCTTCTCTAAAGAAATTATTTTTGGTTCTGTGCAGCTACTTCAATTACCAGACTTTCCCTCCAAGTGCATTTTTTTTCTAACATATATTCTGTCACCAGCAGAAAGTCTGACCACATTTTGTTATGTCATTTTCGACAATATGGAGAAATACGTTTACTGGGTGGAGTTGTGGTGGTTTAGCTAATTAATAGGTTTAACCGTTTAAAATGTTAGTTAAAGTTATTGAGTTCGGCTCGCGGGAGTGGCTACTTAGCTTAGCTTAATGGTAAAAATTTAAAAAAGGAAGAGACAAATCTTGTGGTTAGGTGTAAAATTCCAAACTGCAGACTGAAGTGGGTTCGAGGAGTCGACAAATGAGTTCCAGTTCCAAAATATCAATTTCACAGTGGGGTCTATTATTTATACAATCATATGACTTTTATTTTACCAATTAGCTGGATTCTGATGGATTAAAAATGGAATCTAAAAAATAATTTCAAGACTTACATGTTGCATTGCTATATCTACATCCATCTATACTGATCTGTCACTTTCTTCCGCAAAATATCATAGTATTGGAATGTGTATATGTTCCAAGGGCGAAACCCAAGCAACCACCATTTATTAAAAAAAATAAAAAATAAAAAAAAGGAATAATCGCTACAAGGCTGAAGTACCCAAGAAATAAGATTACCGACACTTTTGAGTTTATTTATATATAATCTTTTTAGAGCCATAAATTTTTTCCTAAATTTTGATTTAAGATTAAAGCACGTCGATCGTTCCGCTAAACTTCTTCAGTAGTGAGAAGACATTTTTAAAGGATTTTTCCATATTATTACTCCCTCCGTCCCATAATTATTGTCTACTTTGATTTTTCATTTTTAGTTCAAATTGTACTAAAAATGAAATCTCAAATTGGACAATAATTTTGGGACATAAGGAATATTATTTTTTTAGTGTGTTTGTCAATGAGCAATTTAATCATTTTATTTTTTTTATATTTATTTTAGAATGTGAAGTAATTTCTGTATTCACAGTTTAAAATTTTGACTGTATAATAAGGAGGGTCATTGTAGTGGTTTATTTTTTGATAATGTTTATAACCGGGGAGTAGTACTATTTATTTGGGGTTTGGGACGAACGGGAAACGAACAGTATTAATGGCACATTGCCATTAGACCGACACACATAAACCTTTGCCAAAAAAGAAAAAAAGACACACATAAACGATGTTGCTTCTTACGATGACAGAGGACCTTTGATCGTTTCCATTCAAAATTTCCAACTTGAAACCAATTCATTGATTAATTATGTATTTAGGCAAATAATAGTTGTATTTCGTTTTGTTTTTGACTCGAGCTGGCTAGATGGACTATAAATTACAGTTACTACTAATAATTTTAAGATAAACATCTTTATCAAGCGTTTTAATCTCTGTGTCTTATTGTTTCATACTCCCTCCGTCTCATAATTATTGTCCACTTTGAATTTTCATTTCTAATTCAAATTGTATTAAAAGTGAAATCTCAAACTGGACAATAATTTTGGGACAGAGAGAGTACTATTTATGCATATTTCGTTGACCATTTGTTGGCAACCATAATTGGGATAATTATTATTCCTAAATATAATTATGGATATGGGTAACTAGGACAAGCAATGCCGCCCCGTTAGTTCCCCCCCTCCACCCCATGAATACGTACAGTACAACGTAAATCCTCCCCAGAAATCATTTTGCCTGTGGAGTCAAGAAATGAAACTTTAACACGCAAAAAAAAAAAAAAATTATTCCGTATGTATTGATTTTCTCCAATATTAATCAGCCGTCGATGATTCTATTTTATACCATTGCCCCACCCCTTTTTTTTTCAAAAAAAAAAAAAAAACTACTTTGGTAACTTGGTATTCATTTACAATTTTTTAGTACTCTCCCTGTTTCAAAACGATTGTTATGTTTGTTGTAATTTTTTTTTTTTTGATAAAAGAAGAAAGCATTATTTACATATTTATATGTGCTACTAAAAACTTGATTTCATTTGAACAAAATATATGTATCTACTTAAAGAAAAGAGCAAACGTTATAACTGATGGGAGTTCTAAAAATGGTTGTGTTTTGTACTTTTGTTCCTTCTACGTAGAACTCACTGAACAGTTCTAATAATTAATACTCCCTCTGTCCCATAATTATGTCCTGTTTGAGTTTTCATTTTTAGTTTAAATTGTACTAAAAGTGAAATCTCAAATTGAACAATAATTTTTGGGACAGAGGGAGTACTATGCTGTCGACAACTTATATTCAATAGGGAATTGCAAAACTAGTCACTAAATCTTGATCGGATGAAATAAAAACCAATCAATTGTCAAATTGCCAGTTAAAAAAAAAGAGTGAAAAGTCTTTTTGATATAAATGGAGGGGCTAGCCGCCCCTTCCAAGTTGTAATTAAGTTATAACCACCCAGGCCTCCACAGGTGCGATACAAAGGGGGAAAAAAAAGAAGGAAAAATCGTCTACCTTCTGATCTATGCAAGAGTGACTGATGTATTCACGCAACGAATTAAATTCAATTTGGATTCGTATATACCAGTAATCAATTATAAATTTGATGTATTCAAAAAAAAAAAAAATCAAGTTTAGAAATGCAGGAGAAAATGATTTTGAGTTCTCTATATCAACCATAAATTAATGTGAATCGCACAGACAAATTCAATCTTGGCATTCGACCGACACTTCAATATACTTGTTAGGTTGCAGTTACGAATTTTGGGTGTTTATTTACAATGTCTCGAATGGCGTAAAATGGTAACCAAGAGTCATAATTAATCTCGTGTATCATCGCTTCATACTGATGCATAATTGCATATTTCCTTGATCGTGTGTTTGTGAATGTAGTAATTAAAGCAACGTAATTATTTCCCATATACATCATTATTTAAGCTGCAAAGTCCAAAACGGAACTTCTCTAATTAACCAATATCCACAACAAAATGTCAATCACTTGATTTTTTATTTTTAAAATAAATTCTAGTTCCTCCAAAATTTATTCGCATCCCACCATTATCCCATTGAAGGAATTATAAAAGGCTAGCATTATAAATCATATAGGGCATTTACGATTTATAAAAGAATTACCAAATATGAATGGTCGTTGTTAATCTAACCAACATTTCCAATTTTTCATGGATCCTCTCCTACAAAGGTAATGCGCGAGTGGCTTATGGGTTCAGATGAATCATGCTATACAGATATTCATCATGTATGATTTCAAATGTTAGCCTACCCTTAATGCGTAACGTTACATGCAAGTTAATTGGCGAACGTTTGACGAGAAATAATTATTTCACTTCTCTCTTATAACAATTGATTGATATAATAATAATAATAATAATAATCCAGGGAATTTCCAAAAGAAGTACTACTCCGATATAATTTTGTTAATCAATTCGAAGGGCACTCAATTTTGCCTCTTACAGATTTAAAGAATATTCCGGAAAGAGGAAAAGAGCACTGTTTTTCCGTCGAAGTGGAGACAGACAAGAGACTTTTTTACTTTTACTTTTTTTTTTGTCAGCAATCTCTAAAAATATCTCTCAAACGTTAAAAAAGAAAGAAAAACATCCTCGGAATCCCGTTTTTGTTCCCTTTCTCCAACTCCGATGTCTGTTTTGCACAATCAATCAAAACTGACGCTTTCAGATCACCCCCCCCCCCCACAACAAAGAAAAAGGCACAGAAATTAAACTGGCGCCAAAATTTATACGAGACGAAAAATTATTTTCAAGCTATGGGGATATTTGTTCCAAAGAAATAATAGGACTTTTGGTCAAAGAAGATCATAACCTAAGTTCAACAAACAGAAATTGAGATACTACAGATTTTGGGGTTAGTATGAAAGAGTTGAATTTTTTGGTAGAGCTAATTTTTCATTTTCCAAAGCAACCTAACACAAAATCTGCAGTTTGCAGGATTGAAAGTTAGGCATGTAAAGTACCGGAAAAACCCTCAAAAACAGCCAAAATTTACAATCGTTAATTGGTTAGGTTCGTTATATATGGCCCTTTTCTTTTTTCTTTGTCGTTGAATTAGTAGCGTTAGTTGCGCCAAAACTCACGAATGTTTCAATGGACGGCGTAGATTTCATCCTATGATCTTTGTAGTACAACATTCGATTCTGCTTATAGATTAGTACTTATTAAGAGTACTAAAGTATTTATTACAAGTAATTACTACTACTATTATGATGACGATGATTCTTACAGGACAAAAGAAATTACAGTTACTCTAATAGTACAGATTATTATTTATTGAGCTGAGGTGGTTTATAAATATGGGATGTAAATGTAATCCATTCCTCCTCATTAACAAAGGCTTGATTTTTGGTTTTCCCTCCCTTCCTCATCATAACATCAATTCTTATTTCCTCTTCTTCTCCTTCTTCTTCAACAAAAAGGAATAACAACCTCCACAAGAAATACCATTTGGCCTTATTATTTATCTCTTTCTTTTCCCTCTCTCTTTCCTTCTTCTTCAAACAAGAGAAAGAGAGAGGTCATTCATTCTTCCCCAACTTTGATTTCAAATGTAAATCTTCATGGCCTTCATGGGTTGCTATGATAATCATCCTGGAAGCCATTTGATTTTAACATTTTGATCAAAATCCAATCCACGTTGGTTCCCCCTTAACACAATTTCTATGGATGGTAAGCAATCTAATTCTTTTTTCCCCCCTTGGATTGTATTGCATGTGATGGGTGTGTGTTTATATTTTGTTTCTTTGTCCTTTTCTGGCATTTTGTCAATCTGGGAATAATCATAAATGTTTGATGGGATTTTTTTTTTCTCCAATCAAGTTATTGCATAGGTGAAACCAATATGGAAAGCCAACCAAATTCAGAAATGGAAGCGAAAGTTGAAGATATGAAGGAACAGGGCGAAACAGAGGAATATAATAAACAGGATGGGGAAAATCAAGAACAAGCAGCAGGAGGAGAAGAAGAAGAAGAAGAAGAAGAAGAAGATACAATGTCTGAAGAAACTTTGGAGCACCAGAAAAGTGGTAATACTTTCGACCAATCATCACCGAGGGGTGTTTTCGAAATACCCGTGTCAGGAAGTTCAGATTCTGATCACAGCAGCACTGAAAGGAGCAGTAGTTTTGGGTCGTCATCATCTTCGGATGAGAAATCTTCATCGTTTATACATAAAGCTTGTTCTTTTAAGGATGGTCAGAAAGTTGTGCAGTGGAAGACTTTGTTTGATACGATAAAGAGAAGGTCTGTGAGGAGGTTCTCTATGGTTCCATTGCTGGCCGGAGGACCGGATTTTGGTCGGAAGAGTACGAGGAGAAAGCTTGGGAGGAACCGGAGTTCTGAGGAAAGCCTTGATTGTGGGGATATGGTTATACCAAAGCCTTCATGGCGGAATTTCAGCTTTGAAGAACTTTCTCAAGCCACTGACAATTTCACCCCTGGTAAATCACCTCAAGAACACAACTTCATAGCTTTTCCAAACATTTTATTCGCATGAGCCCTGCTAAATTTCATCAAGAACCGGACTTCATAGCTTTTCCACTCATGCTTTTCATATTTTTTTCCATTTTGATAGCAAGTCAAATTTTATCTCTCTCTCTCTCTCTATGTGTGTGTTTTCCTTCCATCTCTTTTCTATCTTTTCTCGGATTAGTGATATTCTGGTAGTCAGACAATTGATGCAGATGGAGGCCTCCTACGTTTGTCGTAATCCTTTACCTAGATAAACCTGTTTGTTTTATGCCATGAGTTATAACCAATAGGAGCAGTTAACGATTATATAATATACTGAAGTTTTTGCAAGTTCGAACTTATCTAGTGAGGTCATTAGGACAATATTAAGCTTTGAAAAGTTGGGTCTCCTTGTTTTCCTTATGTACTGGGGTTGGTTCATCTAATTCCTTGTGTGTTTTCTAACATGTTTCCTTGTCAAAGGATATTCTTTTCAAAAAATTTCCACTTCCTTTGTTTTCCTTAGTTTTAGATGTCACTTTGAGTATTATGGGGGCTGCTTAATTTGCAAATTAGGGGAGTAAAACTGCACGCCCTATTAAACTAAACTCTCTACAGCCATTACTCTTTAACTTCAAGTTGCATATTTTCTGGGATTGTGTTTGCATGCGCAGCCTACTGAACCCTTTTAATTTCTCTGGAATTTGGTACAAAGGCGCCAAATCAAAGTAGTCAAAAAGGGGGACTACAGATGATGCCTATTTTCTCACTTGTAGATGCAGGTTGCAGCAGACATTTGACCTATTAAAATTCGTGAACCAGTTTAATTTTTGGACCCCAGATAATGACACCCCTTTATCAAGAAAAAAAAAAAAAAGAATAATCTAAAGGGACTGCTGAGTGCTGACTCTGATTGCTGACCTTTTTCTGTTAATCAAACTTGCAAGATTACTGTAGAGTACCGCTATTCCACTAAAGGACTAATTAGTGCTTAGTTTTTTAATATAAGTTGACCTTTCAGTTGAAATATCCTAGATTGGATTTAGCACACTTTTTAGATATGGAGTAATTGACCAAACGAGAGGATACTGGAAAGATTTCATACTTCCCTTGCCATTCCTTCCCCGGCATGCTGAGAAGTACCCTTGTTTTTGTTGTTTAAGTTCAGCATGGAAAAATTTGACAAGGATGGAAGGTAGGAAACAAAAACTTTTAACTAAGTATTACAAATTAATGTTCTGGATGGATGGGAAAATAGATTGGTAGTGATGCTGCACTTTAGGACAACAAGATGATGTTGAGTAGCTAGTGTTTCTGATGCCTTGTCCAAAATATGTGAACTCTAACACTAAGTTGTGGCCTTAGTCAAACATTAGCTGCTGGTGTTTTTAATGGTGTAGCAGAAATGACTTGTCACTATGGATCAAGTCACATGGAACATTTTAGGCCCCAAGAACTTTCAATGAATTTCAGTGATAATTTAATGTCCGGAAAAATAAGCACATTTCATATTAATACCATGAATTATTGCATGATTTAATGGCCCACCAAAAAGACTCAAGTCTTCAGAACTGCTTCCATTTTTTGATTTGACTTGACACCTGAAATAAAGTAAGTTCTATATCTAATCTGGAACAGATAAGTTGATTGGGAAAGGAGGGCATGCTGAAGTTTACAAAGGCAGTTTACCTGATGGTCAAATTGTTGCTGTGAAAAAAATAACCAAGAAAGAGAAGAATGACGAGGACAGAGTTGGTGATTTCTTGTCTGAGCTAGGGATTATTGCTCATATCAACCATCCTAATGCAGCCAAGTTAATTGGATTCAGTGTGGATGGTGGTCTGCATCTTGTCCTACAATTTTCTCCTCATGGCAGCTTGGCTTCAGTACTACACGGTGCTGTATTTTACTTGCTTATTAACTGCATTGCTTTATTTTTCTTTTCTCCTTTTCGAATTCCTATTGACCCTTGATGTCTACTAAAAATGCGACATTTATTAGTAATCATCCATCTGTCAAAAGTGTCTTAATACTGCAGTTTTCTGTTTCATTAATCACGCCTTTTCACACTATCTAAGCCTGATTTCTAATCTGTATTTGTGAATGGCTGAACCCCTCATTTTGGGCCTGCAATTGTTGGTGCGTCATTTTTTTTTTTACTTATGAAGAGACACTCAGTATTTCAGGTTCAGCAGAAAATCTGGAATGGAGAACAAGGTATAAGGTTGCCATTGGGGTGGCTGAAGGGTTGCAGTACCTTCATTGTGATTGCCAGCGGCGCATAATTCATAGAGATATTACGGCCTCAAATATATTGTTAACTGAAGATTATGAGGCGCAGGTTAAGAAACATCTTAGTATCTAATGGATAATTTTGTCACTGAAGTATACTCATGTTTTCAGTCGCCTATAGTTTGGATATTGAATCCTGGAATTCATCTTTGCAGATATCTGATTTTGGTCTGGCTAAATGGCTCCCAGAAAAATGGGCTCATCATGTGGTTTCTCCCATTGAAGGCACTTTTGGGTATTGTACAAGCAGCATCTTTCTTAGTATGATTTTACAGGAATCCTTAATGTGTGTTTAGCTAATCTTGGGGATGTCTCCTTTCAATCTGGCTATACAGATACATGGCTCCAGAGTATTTCATGCACGGAATTGTGAATGAGAAGACTGATGTATTTGCATTCGGGGTTCTGTTGCTAGAGCTTATAACTGGTCGTCGTGCTGTCGATTCATCCAGACAAAGCCTTGTGATGTGGGTAAGCTTGAATTACACTTGCACAATCTTTTTAGCCATACAAGTTACAGGAGTTAGAAAAGCTGCAAAACATGGAATCCAATTGGTTCTGGCTGTTGTGGAATGTACATACTCATAGAGATTTTAGCCTAACACATTGATCATGCGTTTTTGTACAGGCAAAACCGTTGCTGGAGAAGAACAATTTAAAAGAAGTAGCAGATCCTCAACTGGGAGATAAGTTTGATGTTGTGGATATGAAGCGAGCAATGTTTACTGCTTCAATATGTATTCATCATCTACCTAGCTTGCGACCCACCATGAAGCGGGTAAAGACAATATTTACTTTGGCCAAATGTAAAACTTGTCAGGATCAATGCTGCACAATTCAACATGTTGAAATCCAACTTCGTTTTTGCATGCAATTTTCCAGGTTGTTCAGCTATTGAAAGGGGAGAAAGAGCCATTGGAAGTGAAGCAGAAATCGATGGGGGGAAGAGCGCTGCTTTTGGACGCCTGCGACTTGGATGAGTACACCTGTTCGACGTATCTCAAGGACCTTAATCGTCACATGGAACTTGTTATGGAGTGATGAAATGATCACTTCATATGTTCCATTTGATGATGCTGCTCATCTGATCCTGATATTGTCTGTGTGTAAAACGTGTATGTATAGAAAAGCCTCAAAATCGAACCATCCCCATGCCTTTTCGGTTGTAACTGTCTTGGAGAGATGAAATTCACTGAAAATGCTCTATGTTGTTTAGCTGTGAACACCACATCAAATGGGGGAAAGATTTCTCATTTGTTTCATCTTTTTCCCAAGGTTGTTTGGTTGCTTGTAAAGTATGCAACAAAAAGAATTGAATCGCAACCGAATGAAATGATGCAGGGTAGCCATAAACACTTGGATTAAAAATTATTGTTGCACTTATGATACCAGGGATTGTGTTCTATAACTACTTATTAGGATTATCCCCTACTTCAACTTGCAAATTGCGATTTAGTTTGACAGGGAATTGGCATCAATCGGAGAAGACAAGTTGACTCGGGTGTCGGACTTGATATGAAGCTAAACAGAGGTTCAATCTAGGAAGCTTTGAATGAATTGGAATTGAAGAAGAACGCTTTGAGGATGCAACTGAATTATAGAGTAGTGGAGTAATTATCAACAATCAAAATTATTTATAATTAATTAACGAAATTAAAATTCTCTAGGCTACATAATTCATCCAGCTAGAATGATATGAGATGAAGGGGGAAAAAAACAAAAGGAAAAAAACCCCTGCAGAAAGACCTATTCTAATCTTCCTTGAGGGTGGAACAAAAAAAAAAAAAAAGCAGAGCAACAAAGGCAAACAGTCACGCCTGCCATAAAGGCCCTAAATTTCTTTACAGCCATCTGCTGATTATTAATTGACACAAGAAACGGTGAAATTACTTGAGAAGATATAACGAAAATCAATCAAAATATTATAAACTGGAGAATTATTAAACATTGAATGGCTTACCTGATCAGATGAGATAGAAACAGGAGGCAATCCAACTTGACGGCCAATTTACCCTATTGGTGTTCTAGTTGGGACTTTTTTTTTCTTTTTCTTTTTTTTTTTCCAAACGATACTCAAATTTTATTTAAAAAGAGAGTAAAATATACAGATTGTATAAGAAATATATAAAGAAGAGCTAAATCTAGCCATGAGAGAAGAGAATAATATCTGTATTCCACGGGGAATTCTAGATCTAATCAACATCACCAATTAAATAGGAAAATCTTAACAGTCTAAATACAAGATGGGACTTTAGACTTTAGAGTTTAGAAATGAAATCGCGGCGCCGCCCCTAATGTTTTATAGTACTTTATTTATTCATTCGGAATAGGAATTTATATTTCAGCCCTCTCTATACGTTTGGCCAATATCCTCAAAGAGAGAAACTTGGCACCCACCTTGGTTCCGCTGTCAACTCTTTTGCAAAAACGTACCGAAACCTGGAATTGTAAGGCAGTTCCATTCGATAATCTGTGGTAGTTTTCTGTTATATGTATGGGTCTATACACTTCTTCTTCGTGGACTCGTGAAGCTTTATTATAAACATTTTTCGGCGATTCACTTCAAAAGTTCATCTGCTGGAATTCGGGCTTCTGTCATGCATCTTTCTAGCAGAAGCCCGAATTTGGCCTAGTGGACTGAACACTATTGTTTCAAAGTTCTCTTCTGTTTTGGCACCCAGCACCATATTCTAATCAAATTTAATGGAAACCCATTTTCTCGTTTTTGGAAGAAATTAAAATATTTTTTTTTCTCTCTCTTCTTCCAATTCGCAAAATTCAGTTCACTTTAGTTCAATTGAGAAAGTAACTGAGATAATCCTTGAGCAACGCCCTGCAATCCAGAAGGTTCTGTGGGAGTTGCTGGTTAACCTTCGAGAATCATAAGGAGAATTTCCCAAATCCTATACGAATTATTGAACTTTGACACAGTAACATGTCTATAAACACCAGGGTTGCGAGCTGCGAGCACAAGAGCATTCACTCCTGCAAATTAGTGTGTATATATATACATACATGTTTTCCTAATAATAAAATCTTGTGCCGCCTTCAACTTGAGGGCCTTTAGAATTTGCTCTATATTTGATTGCTTGAAATTTTATATTGGGTTTGACAGTTTAATTTTTAGTGTAGTATTCTCATAAAGTTACCTTTTCCCGATTCTTTATGACTTGTAATTCATGTTCTTGCCTTGCAATTTTTTTGTTGATTATTATCAGAGACCAATTGTGGAAGTTACTGGCCACAACATCTTATCATAGAGTTCCGACATGTTTCATTGATTTCTTTTTTGTTAGTTTTTTTTCATCCCATTTCCCCCTCCAACCCTTCCCCTCTCTCTCTTCTCCCCTGGCCGCACTCCATATTTTCTCACTCGAAAAAGTGCTTTCTTTCTTAAATAACTTATCGACGGCCATCACCATTAGATGCCAACTCTGGCCATAGAAAATTGAGAAACCACAACCATTACATTCTAAAATCAACACTTTAATCTTGAGAAATTCATATAATTTTGTAAACTGTCTGCTATCGGATCTATGAAGAAAACTCCTTTCTCTTTGGGATTTTTAGAACTACAGTGGTGGAGATGATTGTTTCGGTTTGGGGTAGCAAATTACAGCGTGGTTGAATTGAGTTTTTTTTTTTTTGTTCTTTTAGGGGATTCTCTTTCATCAGATCTATAAATCTTTTTAGAAACTCTTATATTGTTTCATGTTTAGTTTCAGATTGAGTTGAATTATTAATTTGTCAATTTAGCTATTGACAAGATTTGTTAACATGGATATCACTTGTGAAGAAGTTTGATTTGAATTATAATTCATCCAGATTCTTCGTTTGGATTTATATACATGAAATTAAATTCGCAACTGCGAAAGACTTATTACTGAGAATGCATTGTTTCTATTAGATTTGGCTATTGTTTTTTTTTCTCTTAATCATCTTTGAATAATGATTTAGTATCTAAACTATTTTGTTTCTTTTTGATTAATTTGATGTGTTGAACAATAAAATTCTATTACTTTGTGAAGAACTTGAATAGCATATTTTTGGGACGTTAACGTATAGGATAGCAGCGGTGGTGCTTTTTGGCCGAAGGACGGGAATTTTTATTTTTATTTTTTTTGGAGGTTTTTTTGGTCTTGATGAAGGGTAAAATCATCTTCGCATCCCCTTTTTTAATGACATCATAGTAAAATGTCATTTTCCCGGCATTGGAGGATCAATTTGATATTTCACCCGACGGTCAAAGGATGTGCCTGATATTTTATCGAACGTTAAGGATGTTTTAGATATTGGGTCAAACCTCGAGGGTGTAATTGATATTAACCCCCAAAAAAAAAAAAAAAGACTTTGACACATAAATAGCAACCACACAGCAGACAGAAAACACGCGTATTGATGGGGACAGATGTACTGCTCCAACTGGGCATCCTCATCTTCACCCTGGGAATCATCTGCCTATTGCACTATCTCCCAAGACAAGGTTTTAGTCAACTCCGATCCAAATCTCGGCCGAACATCCAAGCCAATCGGCACTTCATCTTGGGGGCTCAATTCCTGACCCGAGCCCGATCCGTTCAACACAGAAGCAACAAAACCACAGCCTTCAACCTTGCTAAATCCGCCGCCGTAGAGGCAGACAAAGCTTTAGCCATTCAGCCCAAGGATCCGGCAGTCCACATTCTCAAGGCAATGGCCCTCGACTTAATGGGCCGCAAGGGGTCGGCCTTGAAATCCCTGAACCTGGCGCTTTCGCCACCCCTGGTTAAGGAATTATCTGGAAAAGATAAAGGGGATGCCTTGTTTAAGAGGGCAGAGTTACTGATTTCCATGAATCGGAGAAGACGAATTGAATCGGCGATGTCGGACCTAATTGAGGCGGTGAAGCTAAACAGCGAAAACGCAGACGCTTTTTGCTTACTGGGACGGTGTTATGAGGGGAAGGGATTTAACCATGAAGCGAAGCACGCTTTTAGTGAGGCTTTAAAGATTGATCCCGGGCTTGTTGAAGCTCGTGACGGGTTGGGTAGATGAGTCTGGATGGATATTCAGTAGCTAACATTAACTGGGCTCATCACCCATCCAGCTTAAATTTGTCTCCTTGTCATTTTGTCACACTTCTTTGACTTTGTTTTTCTTAGTTCTGTTAACAATATATAAGAAAACGGACTATTCGTCTTTTCCTTTTTTTTTTTTGGGCAACTAGCAAATAATAGTGGTGTACTTTGTACATTCAAGTTCAGTTGGTTTCTTTTATTTTTCCTGAAATAAAGGATTTGTTTGATCACAAAACTATGCATAGGGGAAGATTGGAAGGCTGTTAAAGATAATATGCTGGTTTTCACTTACTCAAAAGGATAGAAATAGAGGCAAAAATCATTTTTTTTTGTCCACAATAAATAAGCAATAGCCCCTCATCATCATTAAACTTGCAGCAGCATCAAGTTCTAATTAAGCTGTCAAAGATATAACTAATTGTAATGATTACAGGTTCAACTTCTTCTTCTTCTAACACTTCTCACGTGTGAACTTTTGTTGGTCCATCCTGTCACACGCTTGATTAATTCAACATACTGTCTACTTCTGATTAGACCGCTGTATTCACGTCAGTGAAACCCTTAACCCAACACCAAATAGAGTCTTTTCAGTTCTCTTTCTCCGCCGTCATCGACTCCGTCTCCCCCCTCTAATTTGTATTTTGGACCGAAATCTCTTTTATTTGACGTTTCACAATAATTATTTCGTAAGATGATGAAGAAATGTTTGAAAACAAGTTGAGCAAAACCGAGCCAACCCCATATCACTCAGCCTTGGGCCTTGTTGCAACGGAGGTGTCGCATCCGCACAATGGAGGAGGAGAGTTACCCCGTATTCCTTAGGTTCACAGCTTTCATCATCAATCTAGTTCAGGGTCAAACATCCTCATCGAAGAATCACAAGCGTGAGTAATTTAAGAGTTGTAGCGTTGTAATTTAAGAGTCCTACAGCTTAGGTGTTATGCGATTCTTCTTTTTGGGAATAGCAAAGGAATCAGCTGTGAGAAGGCACACCAGAAAATTAATAAAAGCAATCTGTGGGTTTTTTTTTTTTTTTTTGTGTAATAAGCAATCTGTGGTTCATTCCAGTGCTTTTTTTTCTGGACAAAAAAAATATTAGCAAGGGCACAAGAAAACTATATAAGCGCAACAACATTTTATCATAGAATTCCGACATTCTCATTGATTTCTTTTTTGTTAGTTTCTTTTTTCGCATAATATATCAGCAACGCTGATTTTGATAAGAGGAGGAGCCACTCAAAACGATGGAAATGGGGGCAAAATAACAAAATTTTTCCACAATGAGTGTTGCTCCGATAACCCCTTATCATCATTAAGCCTGCAGCATCAAGTTCTAATTCAGCTGTCAAAGATAACTAGAGGATTGTAATTACAAGTTCAACTTCTTCTACTACCACTTAAACTAAAAGCTTCATCCGACTACTAATCTTCAAGAGCTTTATATCCCACAGCCTTTTCCACGGTTACTTCTATGCTAATATGATTTTGCCTAGAGGGTCAAATGATCGATCGACAAAGGGTCAGCTTTAAATCAATACCAGGGATTAGCTATAACTGTATTTTTTATGAAGAAGTTAACTAGCTTGGAGTTGGTGGTCGTCATTTGTTAATAGGACTGGTGAGGCCATATGAAGAACTCTGCAGGTGAAGGCAGCAAAGGCATGGGAGTGATAATGGAGGAGACGGGGCCAGGAGTGTCATGAGAGACAGCAGTACCAGAATTGAGATGATGGAAGAGATTGTGATGGTAATAAGGAGGTGGCGTAGCAGTATCATATGGCACTCCACAAGGAATGGAGGAGATCGGCTGAAACGCCCCAAAGTTGATAGTGCTGCTGCCTCCACTGTTGCTGCTGCATTCAGTCTGTTGATCATTGCTAATAGTGGGTTTCTGTTCGGATTCCATGGAGAGCTTCAAGCGTTTTGCTGCTCCACCAATTGGAAGAGCACTCTTCATAATAGCTTCCACATCATAGCGATTCATCTCAAAATTTGTTACTGCATTCATCCCCCTGAACTTTATCGCTGCTATGTCGTATGCCTCTGCAGCTTCTTCCTCAGTAGCTAACAGCCAGAAGGAGCAAGTCAATACACACTGAATAAGACTGGTCTATGGCGTTTACAAATACTTCAAAACTCAAATCCAATCCATTTTAATCCCAAGAAAAAGAAAAGCAATTCATTTGGAAAAAATCAACTGCACAAGTTATAAACCTATGCGTGACACTTGAAATTTGCCCCAGAGGAAAGTTCTTACCAAAGGTTCCTAGGTACAAGTCCTTATTCCCTGCAACACGACCTATCCTAGCTTGCCAACGGCCTTGTTGATGATGCCTGCAGAAATTCGAAGTTCAAAATGATCAATGTACTCTCTCTATAATGGTAAAATTGATTTGATTTCTTGAGTGATTGCTAGTTCTCACGAGTGGACTAAGATAGAAAACAATAATCATAGTTTATAAGTTCTGAAGCTAAATGGAGTTCTTACCTTGTCACACCACGGTATATAGATGCTCCGCGGGAGAAACCGCTACTTTTCCTGAAAAATCAGACAACTACATGAATAAATCTACAACTATGCAGACTCGTGACTCACATCTCAAAACCAAATTAAGGCAACTGGAAGCTATTAAGTAAAACACGGACCTTCTCAGTGAGGCGATGAATTCTTGCTTAGTCACATGCTTCATTTCCTCAAGTTCTTTAGTATAATTGGAAACCTGAATACAAGAGACAATTTCAATAGCCAAATTAGACTCAAAAGCAAACTTCATGCATGCAGAAAACAAAGGTAAACTGAAATCTGCTAATTTCAAAAAAGGAGAAGAAAGTAGAATAGCATATTTACAGGGAAATTGGTGGTAGCAGTGGGACCCCAATATTTGAGAGCAGCCAAGTCATAAGCCCTTGCTGCCTTTTCTTCCTTGTCATATCCACCTGCATTATTTAACATAGATTCCTCGATGACCATTCAAAAAAGACAGACTTTGAAGAATAGGCCTAAAAGAAAAGAAAAACTCAAAAAAAAAAGTACTAATATTTCAAGCCAAGAAGTCACTTTCACTTACCCAAGTAAACTGCCAACATGAATTCCACATTTGCAGCCACAATCAGGAATCAACAGCCATTTGCATGCAAAAAAGAAACGTAGACATCAGCACTAGGGGACAGTAAATGGTCAATAATCGTTAAAAAATAGAAAACACCCCTTTGAAATCAAAAAGGAAAAGGGACTAAATGAAAGAAAAAAAGAAGTCAGTTTGCATGCGGATAATTGCTTTTAGCCCAGAGCCTGCCATTGAAAGAGCAAGATCAATGCTACATTACGTCCTTACATATTCCCCTCTCCCCAACAAAGTTCACCATGATATGTCCCAATTATAGCCATCTCAGTCCCCTTCTTTCTCAAAAGCCAGTACCTAATTTTTAGTTTTCCTTCTTAATTTTTGATAGGCATGCGGGTTAGAGGATAGAATACACCATTCTGTCACAACCCCCAATAATTCCAAACACTTTTTTAAGCCTTATGCAAATCGTGTTCCCCAAACGTTGATGTTCATCCAAACTGAAACGTTACAATTCATTGTTTTAATAGATTCTGAAGGCCTAAAAAGCACCAACTTGAAAACGAACACATCGTGGTTGGCAAAATTACTCACACGAGCAAATCGTTGATGAAAAATTGGCCTCTTTAGCAGTCAAAGTAACGTACTCAATGCGTTACAAATAGACCGAATTCTCGCGCTAAACAACAGAGCTTTAATGGAACCAAAGGGGAAAAAAAACAAGAGCCTTGTAGAAGAAGAAGAAGAAAGAACCAAGACGGTTTTCACTGAATCATAAACCCAAATATAAAAATTCAGAAGATACGTGTGTGAATCCGCAAAAATGGTGGGCAAGTAGAAGAAATATTTAATTTTTTTTAAAAATGTCATGTGGGTTTTTAAAGAAGAGGGAGGCTTATACTAATACTAGAGAGAGGCAGATAGACACGCCTATGGTCAAACAAATTGAGAGTGACTGGCCCAGAGAAAGAAAGGAAGGAAGAAGGAAAAAAAAGAAAAGCAAAAGCCTAATTCTATAAAGCAATCTGATAAATTTCAGAGATACAGGCGCTAGTGTTCAGACTAGCTGAGGTATGAGTAGTAGTAGACAAGCCTGTCAAGGGAGGTGGTCACAAATTACAGGTAATTTATTAAAACAAAAAAAATAAATTAGTTTCTGGATAAAAAAGGTTCTGAATGAAACTGGACAAAAGCTTGAATCATGAATTGATAAAATCCATCATCAGAGTAGTAAGAAAAGATTAGCTAGAAAAGAATTCCTTTTCTTCTTCTTCTTCTTCTAGTAGGTGGGGGGCATAGCATGATGTATGTACACAAGAAAACAAATCTTTGCCTATATATGAGCAAAATGGCGGCCCATCTGATCAGAACGAAACCAGAGGAAGAAAAGGAAGAAAAAGGGAAAGATAGTACTACTAGTAATCTACAACTCCTTTCATACATACAGACATAGACCATCTATCGTGAGGGTTTGAATGAATAATAATACAAAGTACTAAAGCTGTACATTTATTTTTAACATAGCCATTGCCATCACTCAATCAATCATCGTAAAAGTTCCTGAAATTTGAAAGAAATATATAGAGAAAAGAAGACCTGATTAGCTTCTTCCCCACACACGCGCAGAGCTAGCGGAGGTCCCTCTTTCACAAGTCAGCAGAAATTTAAAACCATCCCAGTCATTTTCAATTTGCATGCAACCTTCTTATCACGCATTCATTCATTTCCCAGATGATTGTTGTTGTTAAATGTGCATTTGAAAGTGAAATTAATACTAAATGATAAAATCAATTTCGTTATGGTCCTGGAAAATTCAAAGGAGATTTTTGGTGGTGCGAGCAATAATAATATCAGATGGGAATGTTTACCTTGACGCCCTTTTCTGGCTTGGCCCTCCCTTCTACAGCTGTTATCCCATAGATGCGCTTCGTATCTTCCTGTCCATCTGTGTCTGGTATCATCCAAACCAAATCCCACTTTCAGAACGTACCCCAGATAATTGATTAGATCCCATTTCTTTCATTTTCTTTTCTTGTTTATGTTTTTCCATTAAAATAGAAAACAACCCCCCTATAACTTTAACTTAAACACCCCCCAAAAAAAAAGACACTAAATAGTGACTAAACTATGAAAAGGCTGATCTTTTTGTACGGGTTTTATTCAAAACCAAAAACCCAGTTTTTGAGATTAGTCTTTTTCGCTAGTCATTAGGCCTAAAACAATGGAGTATTCTTCAACCTCCGATAGTTTGACCCAAAAAAAAAAATAAACTAACAAAAAATAAATTATTACCTAGTTACACCTCTGTAAATGGAAGTCCGTTGGCCAAAAGTATCAGAGATTTTCTTGCAGCTTTCAGAATCAACAACAGCAACAATGGCGTTCCGATCAGACGCTTCGTTCTGGGCAACCTTATTATTATTATTATTACTAACGCCCAGAGACAAAGCTCCCCCAGTAGAACACTGTGCATATGCCGCCAACTCGGTCCCTGACTCGATGCTTTGACCCGTAAACTCGCCGCCCACAACTTGGGTTCTCGCCACAGAAGCCGAGTCGTCAACCTCCGAACCGGAGTTGGTTGAAAAAGCTTGAAACCCAGTCAGGTTCTTAAGATCTTGCTGTTGATGATGATGATCACCGAAGTAAGCTGAGGTGGCAGCCGCCGCGGCTGCAGCTCCGCCGCCGTGGTGGTGGTGGTGGTGGGGGTCGTAGATGTGAGTCAAGGAGGAATCCTGCGTCTCGGTGGACTCGCCGCCTAAGAAGTCCTCCAGCTTCGGCGGCGGCTGGCTTTGGTCGAGAAAACTGGTGAAAATTGATGTCTGGTCAGGATGGGTCGGAAGATGATGATGATGATGATGCCCATTCATGTTGTTGTTTGCCGCCGGTGCAGTGATTTCTTCAGCCTTAGAGTTTTGCTGCCAACCTGAGAAAAAAATAAAAGGGGATAAAAGAGGAAGAAATGTGAGTCCTGTAAAAATTTTGTAGGCTTGTATGTAATTAGTACTACACAGTTTGATCTGAGCTGTTTGATAATAAGCTAAAAAAAAATGTTATAAATGGGAGTCTTTCCCTTCTTCTTTGTTTCTGTTAAAGGAAAGAAAGGAAAAAATAAAAATGAAATGTAGGACTAATAGTAGAACAAACGGTACAAATAAGGTACAGCAAATTGAAGGTATGGAGTGTTTGAAAAATTTCCAGTAACGGAAAAAGGGTGACGAAGGATATATTGCACAACCTTGTCCTTTTCCCATTTTTTTCTTCAATGGTTGTATCAGCAAACCAAACAGAAACAAGTTTTCAGTGGCTGATGATGCAAACTTAAAAGAGATAATTACACCGAAAAATAAAAATAAAAAAACCATTAATGGGTTCTCATTTTCACCCTTTTTTCCCCCAATTAAAAAAAAAATTTGTTTATGTCACTGTAAAAATGAATGAGGGTAAAAGAAAGAAAATGCAAGTATTATATGTATACCATTGGCATAAAAGTGATCCGAGTAGTAGTAAGGATGTTGGGAATCAGCAGAAGAAGAAGCATCAAAGGGAGGAATGAAATTGATGGTGTTAGATTGAAGCATCTGTGGATGATGCTGGTGATGAGGAGGATGATCCGCTGGTACTGAAGAAGAAGAGCTCAGCATTTCCATGGAAGACAATGAGAATGATAGCCAGTTATTTTCAGCTGGTGCCATTTTTTTTTTTTTTCTAAGGTAATAATTAGACTAAAATGTCAATAAGATTCAAAATCTCCAAGAAGAAGGAAACGAGAGCTGGGTAGATAATATAGATTCATTAACGCATTGTGCACATCCCAAAAATATAGTAATACCGTCTTTTGCTTAGAGAGTTTGAAAAGGAAAGGAGAGGGTAGTGTTGATGCTACTTCAACAGTTACAAAAAGGGGAAGACAAAATTGATGAGAGGTACATGCAAATTTATAAGAAGAAAGAAGAATTAAGTAGGCATTTGGATGATTTAAATTGGGGAGATTTTATAAAAGAAAAAATGAGAGAAGCGTGAAGAAGGTGAGAAGATGGGAGATAGCTGTTGAGGAGTTGTATAAGAAAGAAGGGTAAAAAAGAGAGAAAAGAGGGGCAAGAGGAAGAGCAGGTGGATGCATATAATGGGAGCTTATGAGCGGTTTCTTCTGCCATCCGGCGTAAAACAAGAGGGACAACACCCCCCACCACACACACACACTCTCTAGTACTCTTACACTATTTTTATTTTAATTATTATTACTCCATAATTAATTAATCATACAATACACACTTCTTTATCTACACTTTTAATCCTTATTGTTTCTAGGTTTGATACTTTGATCATTTCAATCCACTTAGCTTAAGGCGTGACATATTTATACTCTATAGTATTTCAATTTGTGGTCACAAAGATGTATTATCTGTTAGATTTTGCTTGTATGATTTAGCAATTGCGGGAAGATAAACCAACCGTTTATAATCGAGGTTAATAGCATTTTTGGGTTAATGTTATACAAATACGAACATCGTCACATATTGTCTTACGGGAATATCCACTAATATAATAGAGTTATGTACTTTTTCTGATTGTAATAATATAGTAACATACTTCATTAATTGATTAGTTCACAATGTATATAAAATATTTTAAAAATAATAAATTTATTGCACTTTAACCACTAAATATTAAGTGCGATCGATGGACAGTTTTGTGGTAGTATATATTGGTGGTAGCTAATTTTAGGTCTAAGGTTGATAAAATTGATACAATTAAGAACCCAATTTGTAGAGTTCAAAATAATAAGAGCTGTGAATGTTAAAACTCTTAAACGTTGTGGGTCAAAAGTGTTCCATGATCATACTTGTTTGCTCAAATAAAAATTTCCTTCATTTAGTAAAACGAAATGGGAAAATATAAAACGAAAAGTGAATAATTAAATTATTCAAATGGAACTGATTATTAAATTGCATAAATATGGAGAAGCTGTATAAAATTTGAAATTTACTCGGGGGGATTAAAAAATTATTAGTAAAAAAAAAAAGATAGGTGAGCAGTGACTTTTGGCACTGCGCAGAAGAAAATTTGTCTGTGAACAAGGTTGCGAAAGATCCGGGCTGGCGGACAATTTCGTTATATTTTTTTCCCCGCTTTCGTCTTTTTCTTTATTTTCTTACAATTTTTGGTAGGAATAGTATTATTTATTTAGTTATTTTTATTTCTCTTTCCTTTTGTTTCCTTCATAGATACAGTATTTTACTATGTTTGGAAGTAAAACTTTATAAAAATGGTGGTCGTATTTTGACCTTACAGCTACAGATGAATAAGAAGGGGTTGTGAGTTGTGACCTTAAGGAGGCTATATTTCTCACACACTTGTCCAACATGCCGCGGAATCTGTGTGTTTAGACGTATTGTGTGTGTGTGTGTGTTCGCTTGCTTACACACACTTTTTGTCAGTGTTTATGTGTCTTGAATTTTTTACCATTTTACCTTTCTTTTGTAATTTTCAATACTCTCCAAAATGTTCAGTTATGTAAATCTGTATCAGTCCACATTTTAATTCAAAGCTTTTAATTACACCATGTCTTTTTCACATACCATGATAAGAAAGACGCGTTACACAAAAGTAAGTGGATGAAAAACGTGACTCGGGTAAAAGAAGACATTTGAGTTGTTTTTTTTTTTTACCTTGCACATGGTAAAGTGAAACACAGTTACAGGACAATTTACCAAAACAAATAAATGGATCGTCTTAAGACGATCGTTTTCTTTTTTTTTTTTTCATTATTGTTGAAAATGTTTGTATGAAGAGGAGTACGTAGTAATTTTCAACCACTTTTAGTTGTTGGGTAGTACATTTTCTGAATAAATTCATGAGCTTCCAATTCAAATTCCACCATGATGCAAATTAATTAACTCCACAAATTTGGAATTTTAGTTTAGTTTAATTTAATATACCTCGTATTTAAGGATGCTCAATTAAGAGCGAACAAAGTCGCCGGAAAACGAGTTCGGCTGCTGGAGGTTGGGAGAAATACCAAATATATATCTTGCAAAATTCGTGTTTTTTTTTTATTATTTTTTTTTTAAAAAAAAGAGGCTTTTCCTCACCTAAACCTTTACTTGAGTAAAATCAATTATGTTAATACATTAACATTGGTCAAATTAATAACGGAAGAATCGAACATTTTTCCTATAAGTAAATGAATCGATTTAATATATATATATATATATATAGTACATCTACTCTGTGAATTATGATAGACTGACCGAGCCCATTTTTGAATTTTATGTTTCATTGTTTGAGACGGGTACAAAAGGGATAAATTAAATAAATATCAACAAATTTGATGCAAAAAAATCAAAATAAAAAAAAAACAAAATATTAAAACAGGTGTTGAAATTGGAATTTGGAAAGATTTAAATCGGGAGAATGACATTTAGTCGTAACAAAGGTGATCATGGATCAGAGAGAGAGAGAGAAACAGGAGCCCGGGAAACGGGAAACAGTAAAGCAGAGAGTGAGGAAGAGAGTTCCATTGATCGCGAAAATGAGGCCCCCCCAGTTTTTAAGGGCATTTGTATTTGTAGCAATTGTAGCTCTTCTTTCTCACAATTAATTTTGGAAAATTGGAAATCCCTATAAAACTAGTAAAATTAGAAAATTGGAAAATTAGAAAATTTGTCTACCATATACTACTAGTCTACTACAGATAATACGTTACTATACATTTGCATGCCACATCGAGACCGGCAACACCTATATCTATATCTTCATCAACCTACGTCTACATATATATATATATGAAGCCACTACTTCCTTTTCTTTCCCAAAAATTAAAACCTTAGCTGAAAATGAAGTCTGGAATTCTTTTTTCTTTCAAATCAACTGGTAAACCTCGTACAAACGTTACTTTATAGTTTTCCACGCAGTACAACAGTATCACTTCTAGGTGGCAATGCATAGAGTTGGAACGCGGTCGAGAAAGTGAACCAAACCATCTCAAGACTCCTAAACAAACAATAGTATCATAATTTGTTACTCTATTTTTATATCATCCCAACAAAACAACCTTTTTTTTTCTAACACAATGCGTTCGTTCTTAAATCTTGTCATTTGAGATGAGTAGAAAATTATTGACGTACATGCAAATGTTACAAGCGTACGAACCACAATGTCAAATCATCAGCTGCATTATATATTTATTCTTGTTGAAGGTTTAGAGATTTAGTTTTACTTCATGGGCTCGCTTTGAAATAATAAGCACTGCCTACAAATTGAAGCATTGCAAATGAATAGAAATGTCTTTGACTCCTAAAAAAAATATATCTGATTTAAATTTAGATTAGTCAGAACAATATCATATACGTAATCCACCTAAAAAAAATAGTCTTTGTCATTTGATAGTTCACTTTCAATAATGCCAAAGTGGATTAATATTGAATAGATTGAGTGTAGCTAGTATGATGGATTTGGTTGTGTTGACGGTTTAAAATAGAGAATCCAAAAAAAAAAAATAATAATAAATGATGAGGTAATGATCATAATATTCTGAGAATGAATGCACACGCTTCGGCCAACTTGGTTGAGAGAGGAAGTTAAAGGTAGTGACAACATTTAATGCAGAAATGGCACAAAAATAAAAATTAAAAAGTCCCAAACCAGTACGTATTCTACAGTGTAGAATATGATATCTTAGTCCGCTGGTTGCCGACTCAAAATCTTTGGCTTAGTCGCTTTCGTACGTAGTCAACTTGGACTTTTTCACTTAATGTTGCAAAATTCTTTTTTTTTTTCTTTTTGTTAAAAACTGTTACCAAATTCCAATCCGCATAATTTATATATTAAAATATATATATATATAGCAAATGAGAATGAAATATATTTGTATGATTAAGGTTAATTAGTAGATAGTAATGGAAATTTCTATAAAGTTATAATACTATGTACCTAGTATTGATGGTCATGAACCTGAGATAATAAAAATGACATAAACATTTGACCCAAAATGTCATTATTAATTGTGCATTATCAATTATACTCCCTATGTCCCAAAATTATTATTTAATTTGAGTTTTCATTTCTAGTACAAATTAAACTAAAAGTAAAAAACTAAACTGGACAATAATTATGGGACAGATAGAGTACATTACTCCTTTTTAAATTGAGAAATCTAATGCCTTTCTCAGTCTTTCTAAAACCGTGAAGAAAGATAAGTGCATTTTGTAAACATGAAGGCTGTAGATAACTAGAAAAAAAATAATAAGAATAATAGACGATGAAGAATGAAAATGAAAGTGAAAAAACATTAATGACGCAACGAAAGCAAGAGATTAGAGAAGATAGAGATGGACAAGATTGAAGAAGGATGGTACTGTAAGCAGGAAGACGTAAGTGAAAGGGGATTAAAATTTGTGGAAACGGCGGTGCAAAATTCAGGTCTACGTACGTATGCAGCAGTATGCTGCCCTACCCACTATGATGAAGAGATGAAGTAGTAGGATAGGGAAGTAGGAACGATTTTTAGCTCTTTTTTCACGTATATTGCTCATTAAATTAGGTTCCACTGCTTCTGTTTGGCTTTTTGTTTGTTTGTTTCTTCTACTTTGCTTTTATTCATCTGAGTTTTGGGGGTGTCTTTATTTTCGTTTTTTAGGCTAGCTTCTTTGTGCGCTAGTCTATTAGGCAGGCTATCTAAGACGACCCCACGTGATTTTCGCAATGGAACGTGGCCTCTCGTTGTGTTTGTTGTTCTTCCGAATGAATTTAGCAGCAGTATACTTGGAAACAAGAATGAATAAAGTAATAATCTCTTCTATTTTCATTCCACTACATAATAATAAACACCATTTTGTTTGATTCTACGCGAATTTTGGATCAGGAAACCCAAACAAAATTGCTCCCTCCGTCCCATAATTATAGTACAGTTTGAGTTTTTATTTTTAATTCAAAATATATTAAAATTGAAATTTTAAACTGAATAATAATTTAAAGACGGAGACAGTAATTATATAAGAGTAGTTTAGTGATAACGCCATTTCTTAGCACGAATTTAGTGGGCCAATTGTACGTACTATGAGAGTTGAGACGCTTCAACCATCTACATAGATTAATTTTACAGAGGATTATTTTTACGCATAAAGATACAATAACAATTCAGTGAATA